AAAAAGAACTTTTTTAATAATAATAATAAATAAATAAATAAATAAAATAAAATATAGTATAAAAATCTTTAATAGTTTTATAGAATTATATATTATTATTAAAGACTAGTCTTATAGTGTTTATAAATAAGTACTATAATAGTTATTAATCATTTAAAGAAGAAAAGAGTATAAAGAGTCTTTTTCTTTTTTTATACTATTTAAACTATAATTTCTATTATAAAGTACTCATAAACTAGTCCTAGTTTATTTACTATTTATTTACTATATTACTATTTAAAAGAGATAGTAAATATAGTTTAAATTTCTTAGTTTTTCTTTAAGTATAATTAAGAATAAAAAAGTAACTTTTAATATAAAATCTTTACTTTTATATTAATCTTACTATAGAACTATTTAAATAACTATTTAGAGACTCTATAAGGTCCTCTAAAGAATCCTAAAAAAAAGCTATAGTTAGTAGGAAGTTATTAAAAAGGCCTTACTATACACCTCTTTCTACTATATGATAAGTCTAATGTTGGATCGGTGATAGCACAACCGACGGCTTCTCGGCTACTGTTACTTCTCCTCTACTATCGGGTTGCCTATGTGGATCTGGCTCTTCTCGACTGATATCCTGGCATTCTTTACTTTCCTGCGGTGCTGCCGTATCCTACCTCACTGCTTCGCCCCAGTCACACAGCTTGCTATTTTGATTACCTTTGCCAGCATGTCCCGAACCCAAGTTGGCAGCGTGCTAGAAACGTGAGCCGCCATTCTCTCGGTTATGCTTTCGCGGCTACGATTTCTTGTCTCGCCTCGTTCCTTACGAATACACCGGCCTGAACCAATGATCAATCAACACAGCTGGTACAATCAATGCAGACCCAGGACTGCCGTGAGAGACTCCCTGTCAATTGGCAAGATAGGAAAAACGAAAGCCATGCCAGCTGAACATGAAACCCAGCATGATAGAAGTGGTATGATCAAGCAGAACGCGCCCGCCGTCGCAAAACGATTTTTGCCACGCTCTGCTTATATTCATCAATATGATTCTACGACTTCCAGGATGATCTACCGCGATATAGCTAATGCATAAGCAAAATTTTCTCACAGACCAGGAGCCGACTGTCTCCATCGTCGAGTGGCATCAACATCTGCCGTCACGCACACACCACGAACCTATCCGTCTTCAGGATCCTAGAGACTCTTTAGCATACCGCATTATAGGAAAAAAAGTACTCTGTTGATGCTTGTTAGCCGTAGCGGGGCAATTCGGCGTGAAGCGCATAACTACGCCCAAGATTGAAGTCGAGCAGTCAGTTCGGACTTCCCGCTCTTCACTTACAGGGTCCTCAAACGCACCACTGCAAACCACGCCACGATAGATGGATGTGCTGCCGGGGCGGAGCGGCTCGACAGTTGTCCCATAGTGGACGCTTTCCCAGGCACGAATAGGAATCGACGCAGGTACGAAAAGCTTTTCTCGCGATATGATTCTCTCAGACTCACTCTGGAGTCTTCACGCAGTCAATCTGGGCCTGCTCCTGTCAGCAACACAACGGAGTCGCATGATGCTGCGGACCATACCGTTGCGCGGTGATCCCATGACTCGTCCACGACGTTCACCAAATCTTACAGAGTTGTCATTTTCTCTCATCGAAGGACGGCCATACGAGAATACTCGGAGAATCTCAGGGACCAGAGATGGCAGAGTCTGTCAACGACCAAATGTCATAAATAGCTGCGTTGCGCCGCCGTCCAGGACAATCAAATCAGCATCCAACACTTCTCTACTCAGCTAAGCCTCGACAACTTGACAAGTCATAACAACTCGGATCCTAAGCAACGCAAGCATGCAACCTCATCTCCTAGCAGCGCTCCTTGCGCTCGGCGTCATTGCCGCTCCGCAGGCTGTCAGCGACGAGCCCTTTCCCGAGCTTGAGGGCGTCGTGACCGAAGATGGCATCGAGCTTGACAGTACCTTCGTCGTGGATCCTATCTTTGAGATCCTCTCAAACTACACCGTCCTGCCTGACAAGGTGACCGCCCGTCAGGCGCCACCCGCCAACCCGCAGACCACCACTGCCGACGCGGCCTCCAAGATCAAGGCGCCCGGCGGTGGCGAGAAGGGTGTCTTTTACCGCGGCGACTCGCGTCCTCCTTCGGTCATCTTCGCCGAGGGATTCGCGCCGCAGGGCAACAACCCCAGCCTGCGCGACCATCTTGGCTTTGCCGGCAACTCGGGTCTCGTCTCCCTCACCCGCGACCCCTCGAGGGCCGAACATTACGCGTTTGGCCGCACCGGCGCGAAGACGGAAAAGGGTTACGTCTATGTCGTCTCCACTAAGGACGTTCCCGATGGTTTCTGGGTGCCCGGCCTCTACAACCCGGCCAAGGACCCGGCCATCGCCCGCAACCAGGAGTTTGCCGTGGCCGGCTCCGTCCCCGCCTCGAGCATCTCGCACGCGTACGAAATTACCTCCCAGAACCCGACCGCCAGGAACATCAAGGTGAAGAATGAGGACTACGTTCTCAAGAAATCGCCCTCTTGCTTCAGCTTTGGCAAGCGTGCTGTCTGCGACCCCGCCAAGTACAACGCCAAGGCACCAGGTGGTAAGCATCAATGCCTGACAAAACCCTGAAATCTGCGCCCGTCAGCCGACTAACATGAATCGAAAAAACGTGTAGCTCGCAGAGTCAGAACCAAGGTGTCCCGCACCTTCCGCGCCGGCGCCCGGGCCGGCGGGGCCGTTGCCTTTGCCGTGCTGTCGCCCTACGCTCACGACGTGCTGGACCTGGTCAAGTCGTGGGACAACCCGATCGGCCACGCTGTCAAGTGGTTCGACGACTCCATGGCGAGCATCCAGGAGTACATTGGCGGCCCTCAGGTGCCCGAGATCTACGGCAACACGCTCAAGCTGCGCTTCATCTGCTGGATGCGCGGCGAGCAGCGCTGGCCCAACGATGTCGACCGGGCCTGCGCCCGCCTGCGTGCCTCCCAGCAGCCCCAGCCGACACGCGAGGAAAAGCGCCTCAAGAGTATCAACGACGTGCTCAACGTCTGCGAGCAGCTCGAGCAGGGCACCGTGGCCCCCAAGAATGAGGAGCAGAAGGACGAGCTGCAGGATCGCTGCGAGGAGTTCCGCGAGCAGACCCAGGAGCAGGACACCGCTTCCGCTTAAAGTGTCACCCGCGGACCGGGCCTATCTTGTCCCTTTGCATTTGGCGATGGAGACAAGCACACTCTATTCTCGCTACGGTGGGCATGGTTTGCATGCACATCAGCAGAAGTACCGTTCAAAGTAGATTAGACAGTTTTTTGATATAGGGTTGAAAAAAGATGGTGGAATCCACCGACATCATTCTTCAGTTCCGCTGCATCCCCGCTCTCCGTGGAGTTATCTCGTGCTTGTGTTGCGCCATGGGTTCGCTTGCTTGGACCTTGACGAGACGTTTTACAAGTCTGCCTACCGACGGGGCTGACTCCAGCAAATGGGTAGATATCAATTTGCGCCAAGGCTTTGTTACTAGGAGCACAAACGGCACAGCGATTTGGAAAGTTGACAGGTCACCTTACAGCGCGGACGGGACGGGAGCTCCTCAAGGCGTAACTTTTTTATAAAAGGGGCAATACTACAATTCGGAACAAAGGTTGTCGAAAGATTTCCTCAAAATTTCCGGTGATTAAAAACATACCAGAAGTAGTGGTAGGATGGGAGCAGGGTTCAGTTCCATGTCTTACCACTTCTACCCTCACCAGGCCAGTGATTCTATAACATTTTGGCAAAATATCGGCATCCGAATCCGCACTCCCCCACGATGACCACCTCCCCCCAACACGAGTCGTCGTACCCAGCATTCGGTGTCTCTCCGGCATCACTGCCATTGGCTGAGCGGACCGCGAATCGGTGGCTCCGTCGCCCAAGGCAGGCATAGGCCGTCCATCGTTCTTGCATTAACAACATTCCGTCGCAGCAAGCTCATCTCGGCAGAGAGCCCTGACAGATATTCCATCTTCTTTATCAGAGAATGTTGGGCCCCCTTGTCGAGCTGAGGGATAGGCGTGTACGCTTTGCACAGCATGAATTGGAGGGGGGAGGGGGTCTACCAGGGCCTGGGTGTCTTCTCCTGTCTGTGCGAGGAGGCAACGTTACGCGGAGGCCTGAAGTACTTAGAAGCTCCGAAATGAAAACTATACAGTGAGCGCGCCAGCGAGGTGTTGTTCGAAACAGCCGAGGTGTGGCTGTGAACGAACAATGATGCGGCAGACTTGTGTCAATGACACAGCGCAAAGCAAAGCACTTTCGCTGGATGCTCAAACTACACTATTTTATCAAGGTCCTTGTCGCAATTCCCAACCAGCACAAGTCGCTCAATAAATCATTGTCTTTCCTGGCACTTTTCAACGCCGTTGTTGGAACCGGCTCATAGCTCAGAAAAAATAAAAGAAAATGACAAACTGAAAAGAAAAGAAGGCATGGCATACGGGTGACAAGGTTCAAGGCATAAATTAGTCCAATAATGCCAGGAAAAGTGACTTATCTCACATAGCTGGATTTTGCGTTGTCTACAAGGATAGTTGTTCCGGCGGCAGCGCGGCAAAATAGGCGTAAAGACGCTTTATTAGTACCTTCACCTGTGACGTCCGCTTCCCCGATCCGAGTATTTCCCGTCGCCTTATCGTCATGTTGATAAACTTATTACTATAGTTTCAGGGTTCCTGTGGGCTCCGCTCCCTCGCCAAGGTGGGAGCCGGGTCGTCCCATGCCGGCAGCATTGCCCCCGCTGGTGAAAAGAGGACACGATAGGCAAAAAAGAAGCCCCCCTTCCTCTCTTGAGAAAATGAAGGAACTCTACTGTAGCCGAGAAAAGAATAGCACGCATCGCGTGAGCCGGGGCGGCTCACGCGGGTTTTATCGGGCCGGCGGCGGAAGCGACGGCCCCGGGGTGGAGTTGGGAGCGAATGCCGAGGGAGGATGCTCGCGCACCGGCCGCCGCCGGCAAGTCGCGAGGTTCTGCCGAGACGTTGAAAAGCCCACCTGTTGGTTCCGCTCGAAATACCAGCATGTCGCATTTTTCTGCAATCCCGCCGGCGGGCTGTCGGGTGCCGGTGGGGGTCGAACAGGGGGCGGAATCTGCGCGCCGTCTCCTATCTACAGCAAATCAGCACCTTGAAACGGTCAAGAGTGGCCCGTGAGGCCATCACGACCCTGGCTCGCCCCCTCAACTGTGGCTCCGACCGTTACGTTGCAGGGACGGGGGTTCGGATGCCCTGACATACGGGTCATGGCAGATATCAAAAAGTTGGGGGTCACCTCGTGATGGTTGACAAATCAACCTCGTGTAAACTTGTGGCTCTCGGCTTGCGCATCCCAATGCAGTCAATCAGGATATACATCCGAGAAGCCTCAGTTGGGATAGCATGATCACGTCGGGTCGTTTGTGTGGCCACTGAGCTGGATCTCTCGCGTCTGCAAACTTTGCCTCTCCCAGGTGAAAAGAGTCGTTCCTTCTCATGTCAGCCTTCGTATGGTAACAAGGACTGACCGGCTGCCAGCTCTGCCACTTGCCGCTCGCCACAGAGCACCAGCCACGACAGCCTGATGTCCGCGCGTCGCCAAAGAGCCTGCGGCCTGATTGCCCTTTGCTGACACGGAGCGTGAATAGCTCAGCGTTCCCTTTAATCTCTTCCAGAGCCACGTGAGCCTCTTCATCATCGTCGTGATCGAAACCGCCCCTCGCAAGACTTTCCACAGCCGGACCGCTCGCCGAGGTAAGCAAACTCACCCAAGACGCCGCACGTTCTTGTCCGTGTGCCTGCGCTGTCCGGCCAGCCCCTTCTGTGAGCATAAGCTACCTGATTCACTCGCTCGTTGCTGTTCCGGAACATCACTGCCGCGTATCGAAGCGGACAAGCGGCCGACGAGAAACTCAACGCAGAGACAGCACAACAATGCGCATAATGACCAGGGCATGTTGCGCGTTCCTGTCCGGTAAGTAACTCGCCTCTCCTGTCCCAATAGAAATAAAATATAATTGTATTTAAACAAGGCCACAAGAAGCAAAGTGAGCAAATGACCCTAGGCTCCGGCAACGCCAGAAATGCAAGCATACATCAATATACAGAAGCTCCTCCATCCAAAGCATCCATCCGCTGTCCTATCCGCGCACATGACACAACTCGGTGACAACCCAACCGCTAAGTCTTGCGGCGTCCATCCGGGTGATACGGCGCGGTGAGCTTTGCCCAAAACGCCTCGCGGTCGGCGGGCGTGAGCTGCGTCGGGTCGCAGCCCGAAAACGCCTGGTCAATCGTCATGCTGAGAAAGTCGGAAATCATGGGGTTGTCCTGCAGGAACACGGCCGTGGACAACAGCGAGTCCTGCACCGCGTTGTCGTCTTTCCAGTCAATGTCCATCGGTGCCTGCAGTACGTCGTAGGTTCGCATCACGGTCTCCTAGTGTCCGTTCAGAGCGGGGTTGCCGGGCGGTATGGGAGGGCGCTCCGGCCCATACGGTACTTTATTCGTCGTCGAAGGTCCAGGCTGCGATGGTTGTACTCGTGATTGTGGCGGTGACTCCTCTTCTGTGTCGTCCGGATCGCTCCCTTCGCCCTCTTCATCGTCCTCTTCCGAGTAATCGCTGTCTTCCTCGTCCTCCGCGAGATCCTCGTCATTCTTGCATCTCTCCAGCGTGGACTCCATTGCCGGCGGAACTTTTCGGCCCTGTTGTTGCATCTGATGGATGATACTCATAAGCTTCTTCGTCTTCCTGTCGGCGGCGTCCATCTTGTCTTTCCATTCCTGCGCCACGCCGATAATGTTGGCTGCTGTACACTCCTTTTGACGTCTCAGTGCTTCGTTCTCTTTTTCTAAACGTTTGCACTTTTTGGATTGCTCTTGCATCTCCTTGCGTTGTCGAGCCATAATATCGTCTCGTTGGTCCAGCGCGGCCTTAACCTATGCAGCCCATTAGCATACGGTAGACGTAGTGGCCTCGTTATATTTACATTACATGCCTCGCCGAGCTTGTCAATGTACATTTCAAGCTCTTCGCGAAGCTGCGACTCAGTTTTTGATAACGTCTGTACCTGTGTTTGTAATTGACGCATTTTCGCCAATTCGGCCTCGGCGGCCTTCTTGTCCCGATCGAAGCGCGAGAGATGATATTGTAACTCAATCTCCTTGGTTCGCATTTGGGAGTGGAAATGCAGCTCTCGAAGTTCGTATTGTTCAATGAAGGACTTGAAACGAACTCGAAATCTATACGTGGTCAGTGGGAGTCTGGTAGCGTTCAGATCAAGACGTACAGCTCCTCCATTTCCATGTCGACGACTTGCTTGCGCGGGGTATCTTTGTCTTCTTGGTAGCCTTCGAGTTTCGAGAGCAAGATGGCGTATTTTTCGTCCCACGATAGGGTATTACGCTTTTGGATAGCTTGGAGTTCCTTGTTTTCGTTCTGCATAGATCAGCGCTGCGCCTAAGCATGCTGGTAATGCAATAAGCGGCATACCTTCATCTTGTTGTTATCCCTCTGGAGTTCGCGACACAACTTCTCCAGCTTCTCTTTCAACCCTACCGTCTTACTCAATTCGGTGCGGTTTATATCCCGCTCTTTTTGCAAAGCATCGCCGCGCTTCTTATTTTTTTGATTTTCTTTATCCAAACGTCGCATATCGGCCAGCAGCTCGCTAGACCGCTTCGTCAGATGGTCGATCTTTTGTGAGTCGTCCATTTTGGAGATTTGCTGCAAGAGGTCACGAGTCGCCCGTTTAACTTCTCGTTCTATGATCAAAAGAGTCAGCAGGAGTGTTTGAAGGGAACACAACGGGCGCTTGGGCGCCCTCGTCTTACCTATTTCCAGCTCCTGATCCTTTTCGCCCGCAGCGTCCTGCTCTAGCTGCGAGATACGAGCCGCCAGAAGTCTCGAGGCTTCGTTTGAGTCGAGACCTCTTTTTCCCTTGCCCCGTTTTCCCGTGGGCGGCGCGAGGTGTGTGTGGCCATCGTGGCCGTTGGTAACGGCTGGCTCAGCATGAGTCGCTGGCATGGTCGGCTCGGTGTGCGGTCCGTTGTTTCTTGTCGCACAGGAGGCTATAGTCGGCGTTGCAGCATTGGGAGAAAAATTGAATCAAACCGTATGTAGTCGCTGAGGTCGCGGCCGACGTCAAGAGCCCAAAATCAGGCTGCTGTCGGCGAGATCGTGGAGTTGGCTGAGGGGCGGAGATTCTCCTCGTTCGAGATGAGCTGACCGAGATGAGCGAAGCGGCAAACGCTTCGCGGCTGGGGCGGGTTAGATGGCACTCGATAGACGGCTCAAAGCGCAAGGGTTCGGATAGCTCGTTGCCGCGGGCCGCTGCTGAAGACAATTTTGGTAGACAATGGACGTGGACGACGTAGTTTTCCGCTCCGTGATGCACAACTTTGGCTAGTGCCTCGAGTGGACATGGGAAGCGTGGGTGAGTGAAAGTAACGCCGCCCCAAACGGGCAAAAGGACTCGCTGCTATAGTATCCCAAGTCTCCAAAGCCGCCAATGTGCCGGGCCTTTTATGTAATATTGACACTGTTCTTATGACCTGGCAGCTGTGCTTCTAGCATAATTTCATACGTTCTTTATCGGTACGATTGAGTTATAGGACCCTGTTCCAGTCAAGTCAATCTGTCAGGCTCATTAGACCTAATGAGTAACACGCGGAACGAGCAAAGTGCCGTGATAGCGTTGAGTTGCAGCCATCAAAGTCATCACTAGGTGCAATACCGAAAAAATAAACACAAGATACTACTATAAGCAGCAAAACGAGCGAAGTTAAATCTCAAGAAGTATTAACATCATCAACCTGGGCTCGCCCCAATCTTCCGCATCTTGAACCCAACCTCGCTGTTGGCTCTCAACCTCTACTAAAGCGGCGACGAAATGCTGACTAACTGCGAAATGACGTCCAACCAAATGTGTGCTCCAAATTTCCAGGAGCAGTCATCAAGCCTCAGACACGCATTTGCTTTCGGTTGTTTGGTTTCGATTTGCTTGCAAGTGTCGTATTGCCTTGACTCACCATGTTGCGCAATGCGGCCCGCAAGGCCGTGACTGAGCTGTCACAGTACCCCAAGCCTGGCTCCAAGCTGCACGGCTTCACGCTCGTCCGAAGCAAGCACGTCCCCGAGCTTGAGCTCACGGCGCTACACCTTCAGCATGACAAGACTGGCGCCAACTACCTGCATATTGCGCGCGAAGATAGCAATAATGTCTTTTCGATTGGGTTCAAGACGAACCCCCCCAACGATACAGGGATCCCCCACATCCTCGAGCACACGACGCTCTGTGGCAGTGAAAAGTGAGTGCGCAAACGCCGGAGCAGGTGTCGCGTCGTGCTAATGGAATGATAGGTATCCGATTCGCGACCCATTCTTCAAAATGCTTCCCCGAACCTTGTCAAATTTTATGAACGCGTTCACAGCCTCGGACCACACATTCTACCCCTTTGCAACTACAAACGCCCAAGACTTCAAGAACCTCATGTCCGTTTACCTCGACTCGACCCTCCATCCTCTTCTTAAAGAATCCGACTTCACACAAGAGGGGTGGCGTATTGGACCGGAGAACCCATTGGCCACAGACGATGACAGCAAGAAGCTCGTTTTCAAGGGCGTCGTCTACAATGAGATGAAAGGTCAGATGTCCGACGCTGGCTACCTTTACTATATCCGCTTCCAAGACCACATCTTCCCCGACATCAACAACTCTGGTGGCGACCCGCAGAAGATTACCGACCTAACATATCAGCAACTGAAGGATTTTCACGCCGAGCACTACCACCCCAGCAACGCCAAGCTCTTCACCTATGGCGATATGCCGCTGGCCGACCACTTGGAAGAAATTGATGCTCGCCTCCAGGCATTTGAGAAAATTGAGGCAGATAAGGAGATTCACGAGCCAGTGGTGCTCTCTGGACCCAAGGATGTCACGTTGGCCGGCCCATTTGACCCTTTGGTTGACCAGGATCGCCAATACAAGACATCTGTCTCTTGGATAATGGGAGATACCACGGATGTTCTGGAATCGTTCTCGCTCGCTCTACTTTCTAGCCTATTGATGGATGGCTATGGCTCGCCACTGTACCGCGGTCTGGTAGAGACTGGCATGGGCGCTGACTGGAGCCCCAATTCTGGTTATGATAGCTCTGCCAAGCGAGGCATCTTCTCCATTGGTCTCACCGGTGTGCAGGAAGGAGACGTATCCAAACTCAAAGAAAGAGTTCAGCAGATCCTCCGCGAGGTCCGCGATAATGGCTTTGACCAAGGCAAGATTGACGGATCGCTCCATCAGCTGGAACTGTCTCTGAAGCACAAGACGTCTAATTTTGGCTTCTCCATGCTCAACAGACTAAAGCCTAAGTGGTTCAACGGTGTCGACCCGTTCGACTCCTTGGCCTGGAACGACACAATCAGTGGTTTCCAAGAAAAGATGGCCAAGGGTGGTTATCTGGAGGGACTGATTGAAAAGTATCTACTCAATGACAACACCCTAACATTTACCATGACGCCATCGACCACTTTCGGTGAAGAACTGGTCAATGAAGAAAAGGAACGATTAGCAGGCAAGATTGCTGATGCGGTTCAAAAAGCGGGTGGTGAAGAGCAAGCACGCGCAGCGTTCGAGCAGCAGGAGCATGATCTCCTTGAGGAGCAAAACAAGACAAACACGGAAGATCTTGGCTGCTTGCCCACCGTCTACGTCAAGGATATCCCCCGAACTATCGACCGCGTCACCGTTCGCGACGAAGTGAGCGACGGGGTCTCCATTCAGTGGCGCGAAGCCCCCACGAACGGCCTGACATACTTCCGGGCCATCAACACAATCGATGGTCTCTCAGATGACCTTCGCCAACTGATTCCCCTCTTTACCGACAGCATCATGCGCCTAGGCACCACGAACAAGACCATGGAGCAGCTAGAGGACCTCATCAAGCTTAAGACAGGCGGCGTGTCCGTCGGGTACCACTCGACACCATCGCCGACCAACTTCGAGGCGGCCCACGAGGGCATCATCCTCACCGGCATGGCGCTGGACCGCAATGTGCCCGTCATGCTTGAGCTGCTGCGCACGCTGGTGCTGGACACCGACTTTGACAGCCCCGAGGCGGCGCTGCGCATCCGCCAACTGCTGCAGGCGTCCGCCGATGGCGTCGTCAACGATATTGCCTCGTCGGGCCACCGCTTCGCGATGAACCACGCCGAGTCGGGCCTGACGCGGGCCGCGTGGCTCCGCCAACAGGTTAGCGGCCTGTCGCAGGTGAAGCTTGTCACCTCGCTCGCTGGCCGGCCCGAGTCCGACCAGCTTGGGGACGTGATTACCAAGCTTAAGCAGATCCAGCAGCTTGCGCTCACGACCGGGAACCTCCGTGCCGCCGTGACCTGTGGCAGCGAGAGCGTCGCCTGCAACCTCGCATCGCTGCAGGCCTTCACTGGTGACCTGCAGCCGCAGCTGCCGCAAACCGGCGGCGGCGCGCTCGCCCTCCCCAAGACGACCAAGAAGACGTTCTTCCCGCTGCCGTACCAGGTCTACTATGGCGGGCTGTCCGTGGCGACCACGTCGTACACGCACCCCGACGGCGCGCCGCTCCAGATCCTGTCGCAGATGCTCACGCACAAGCACCTGCACCACGAGATCCGCGAAAAGGGCGGCGCGTACGGCGGCGGGGCCTACGCCAAGCCTCTCGACGGCCTGTTCGGCTTCTACTCGTACCGCGACCCGAACCCGCAGAACACCATGCGCATCATGCGCGACGGCGGGCGGTGGGCGGCCGACAAGGCGTGGGCGGACCGTGACCTCGAGGAGGCCAAGATCTCCGTTTTCCAGTCGGTCGACGCGCCCAAGGCCGTCAACGAGGAGGGCATGGCGCGCTTCCTGTCGGGCGTCTCCGAGGACATGCGCCAGGCGAAGCGCACGCAGCTGCTCGACGTCACGCGCGAGCAGGTCCGCGACGTCGCCGAGCGGTACCTCGTGCGCGCCGTGAATGCCGGCGAAGAGCGCGTGTCGTTCCTGGGTGAAAGGAAGCCCTGGGTCGATGGCAGCTGGGCAGTAGAGGAGATGAACGTGCCTGGCGGCGACGCAGAGTGATTTTTCTCCATGTTTCTCACCTCACTACTGTGTACGATATTGATGGATTGTAATAATGGAGAGAAGCATAATGTGTACATTATAGAGGTATATTTTGGGCATAGATGGAAAGGAAATTTACGACTCTTCTCACAAAGTTGACGGGCCCTCAACAACATGCTGGTGTGAATAGGTAGGGAGGGCCTTGGTCCGGCAGTGATTTTGGACGCGTTCAGATACGATACGCCTTTCTGTCGATGGAAACATTGTTTCCGTCATCCATGGCAGTCAAGCCACAGAGCAACGCAAGAGCAAACGCATGATGTTCCTTTTCTTTCTTTGAGGACGACCTTGGTGCTTACTGGTGTTGTTTTCAACCTTTGTCATTTTCGACCTCGTCTTTCCACTGTTCCTCGTCATGTCTTCTTATCGTTTTGTGGCTTAGGGCCTGGATGCGTCCCAGGCCTACATCCTTCACGCAGTTGTCTGTGCTATGCCAAGTCGCTCGTTCCGCCTCGCTTATGCAGGCTGGGTTGATCGCCACGATCAACAAGCCAGCAGAAGACGAAAAGGGCAAGCGGCCGGGCAGAGTAACTAGACTACTATGGAGGGGACAGGAATGGACAATGGCGCGGAAGGGAGGCCTCCTTCGCCTACGCTGATGGCTTGGAGCGTGATTTGGGGATGGTGGGTGGCATACGAGAGGCGAAAAGTGGGAAGGGGGAAAATGGTGCTGGAAGTACTCGGTGCAAGTCCCGAGGAGACGAGGGGGGAAATCGCTCGTTCTCACAGAGCCGGTGTCGCTGAGCATTGGATTGCCGGACTAAAGAACAGAGTACATGCTCACGATGAGAGGTAGGAGGACCGGACAGGCCGGCCAGAAAGGAGGGCCTGCAACACGAACAAGCCCGGAATCAGGATTCGTTTGCAAAAACGGGTAGGGGGTTTTGCCGATGAGGGGAAAGGGGGAGACATGCGTGTAAACTCAGTCCACCCTTTCGCGATGCCGAGGGAGGGGGGTGACTGGAAGACGAAACGGTCGTTGATGACGAATGCGTAGAGCGATGGCGCAGTGACAGGTGAGGTACTTCTCCACGACAGCGTCGGCTGTATGGCTATGCGAAGAATATTTGTTGGTCGAGCTTGTAGTATGAGACTTTTAATTTTTTGGCGTCAAAAGACTCGACTTGTATGCGGTATTAGTTGATAGTGTTGTGAGAGCCTGCGGGCAGCTAGGCGATCGCAACGGGACAACGCATGGCCCCAAAAAACGAGGGGACCAGGCTCAATAGAAGACGCATGGCGTTTGGGCCTTTCTCCATTCTCTCTTGATGCAGTGAGCAGAGGCGGCCTACGTAGGTATGTAAGACGTGCGTGTTTTCTCGACGCCGGTTGGTCCAGTTTAAGCCCGAAGGGTGGTGGTCGCGTGAGAGGAGGCAGACCCAAGGTCCAAGCTCCTTGGCAAGTCGATCGGGCCAAATTGCCGGAGAGAGTCTGTGCGTTTATGCCGGTGATGGCAGTTTTGTTTGAGGGTTTGTTCGGATCTTGGGTGCCGACTGGCCAAAGGCTATTTTGGGGACAAAAGGATGTGCGTAACATGTGGCATGTAGCTAGTTGGTAGCAGGTGACCGGTAGTCTCGAGTCGACACGGGGTGCTCGGCTCCTGAGGCAGGGTTGTTTAATGAACGATACAGGAACAGGTGAAAGACAGACTTCGCGCGATTTGTCGGATCACTTAGCCGGTGCGGTTGAGGCTTGCGGCTAAAGACCTCTGCGTGGTTCTCGATGTATGTATGTAGCTAAGCCTATAACCTAGAGTGAGTACTCGTCAAGCCACCAATCCGGGGGCAGCGGGAAAGATGCGAGACCCGGTGACAATTCATTATATTGTCTGAAATGTCACCATTGTACAGGTCAGAACAGGGTTGCATTGAGTAACGATTGGGGTGCGAGCTGGGGCGCGGATCGCCAAGAGCCGGCTGGACGGCATCGGGATGTGGATGTATAGGGTAACACTGGTAGGCTCTTTGGCCACCGTACAGTCGGGCAAAATTGGCCAGTAACGCACAGGCTTGTTTTGCCTTGTGTGTGGGAGACAGTTGGTTAGTATTATTCGTATGCCAATATTCACATCAAGACACAAAGCATCCAAAGCTCATTATTGCGTGCGTTTTGCCGGGGTTGGCGGTTCTGACATGTGTGACATCGCCACCCGGGGTCTCAGGGTCCGCGAAGTCAGTCCACGGATGCTGTCTGGGCCGACGATTTCGGCTCAAATATTGAACTAAAAGCATCGACACTGGTCGTGAGAATCGGACTGGTTGACCTGGCAGCTGCTGTGGGAGAAGAAGTTGGACGGATGCCTGTGTTGTTCGTGATGCCATGAGGTGTACAAGAAGCTGCGAGTAATGTACCGAAAGCACCCCATTTAGCATTTCAGCGTCACGGAGAAGGCTTCCGGGAGAGACTTGCATATGTAGGCGAGATCGTTATAGGTGTGTGGTGGTAGGTTCACCTGGTAATCAAGATGCGTGTTGGAGGTTGAGGTAGGTGGAGCATGTGGCTGCAGGAGATGGTGTTTGCGAACTGCCTTGCTACGGCGGGTATGAGGCTGACTTTTGAAAAGGAGCAGCAAGCAGTATGCTCGTTTGTGTAAATTCCCGCATAGTAAGCAATTGGGCTCTCATTATATGACTGATGTACATCTTGCTGGCACTGCCTACCAGCAAGTCGGACAGGTGGTGCAGCACACATCATCTGTCTCGGATCCGGTTCGTGGAGAGGTGCAGGTACCTAGTAGTTACCTAGTCGGGTCAATCGTTTTAGTAGGTCGGTGCGGAGCCAGGAACGGTGGATGAGCAGGTTGCAAGCAGCAAGATTGTTGGTGCCTTCGGTAGGTACGAATTGTGCAGTAGAAAAGTCAAAAAATCAATCTGTGTGTCGCGTTTTCACCGGGGGGCGTTTTACACGGCCTGTGACTGGCTGCACGAGCTGCATTTCTGGGTCTTTCAGTAGCCTCGATGGTTTTACAAGCCGCCGGACAGCCCTCCCGCACTGCGCTAACCGATCAACGAGGAGTGCTGCAGCCACTGTACTTTGTGGTAGCGGCGCGTACCAGGTGGTAGTCATCCCGCCTATAACCCCGCCAAATGCAATCTGTACCACAAGACAACTGCAATTGGAACTTCGAAATCATTGTAGAAAAAATTCTGCCCACCCACAAGCCTGTGCCCACACTGCCCGCTGCCCGCGCTGCCACGCCATAGCCTCAACCGCCCGTGTGCTCCCTCCTTCTCGTCCCACCTCCGACTTGACCTCGCACCTTTTTTTCTACTCCAACACAACACCACACCGTGTCCTCGCAACATATTGCACCGCCATTCCCCCTCAATTAAGCTCCCGCTTCCGCTCTAGCTGTGCTTCAGCCTATCAACCGTTCAATCGCCATCTTTGCAAAATTCCCGCACGGTTAGTTTGTTCCCTCCGACAAATGGCGCATCCTACCTATTTCCATCCGTTTGCTCTTCCGCCCCCCTCCACCGCCTCGCCCACCACATCACGACAGCCCGCACGGCCAAACCACCATCACCACCAAAACACCCGCCTGGGCACTTGACACAGGGCCCTCCTCCGGACTGTTACATTGCCGGCTTCTTTTTGCCGTTTCCCTGTTTATTTCTCCCCTCCATTCTATTCCCACCTCCCCCCTCGCTCTGCCATCAACGACATGCGTCATACTCCACATATTCGGGAAAAAATTGACCGCTGACCAACTCTCCTTTCTCATAACAATAGGCACACCACCTTTCTAGCCGTCAAACCTACCCAATTCCTATAAATCCATCGTCCTCGCGACTCTTGCCTTAGCCTTTGGGTTCAACTCAAAAGGCACCGCTTCCGCCACGGCTCCCCAGGCCGTCATCCACTTCTCCAACAAAGATTTCTGCTCTCGCAAGCCTACTCACATCATCAACGCCATTCCTCCTCCTCACTTCGCCTGCCGCTTCCTATAACTTGTACAACGCGCCCCTCTTGACCCCTGGTGACTTGGATCATCAACTTCCTCCCCCGTCCTCCCACCAAACCGATCAGCTGCCGCATAGGAGGAGTTCTGAGGTTCTTCCTCTTACCGAGGAAGAGTCGAGGAGGCCTCGCCAGTCCGCTGAAGGAAACTTCTGTTATATCCTTCGACCACCCTAACAAGCCTTTCCCATCACTGGCTTCCCCATCAATCAACAAGTAATCGGTTATTTGTTCTCGTATCCAACAACTTCAATACCTTGGATATGACCATGACCACGGCTATCTTTGACCACCATGTCGACCCCATTCACCAGTCTCAGTTTTTAGCCAAGAGACTCCCCGTCCCTTCGGTCGCCTCCCGTGATGGCCCCGCCATTTCCAAGCAGCTCATTGGCAATGCCCTCTCCCGACGCGTCGAGGCCGTTGACCATGAGCTCTGTGAGCCTGGAGATGAGGATACCTTCTTCGTAGCTGATCTTGGCGACGTTTACCGTCAGCACCTGCGCTGGAAGAAGAACCTCCCTCGTGTCCGTCCTTTTTATGGTATGTTTGTCCATCAAGCCCGCATTATACTCATGTCCCACCTTGATAATACCTCCTCACTCCCAACGCATTGGCAGATGCTAACCCATGCAGCCGTCAAATGCAACCCTGACCCTATGGTCCTCCGCCTCCTCGCTGCGCTCGGTACCGGTTTCGACTGCGCCTCCAAGACCGAGATTGACCAGGTCCTCGCCATGGGCTGCTCCCCCAGCCGCATCATCTACGCCCAACCTTGCAAGACCAACTCGTACGTCCGCTACGTCAAGGCCGCCGGCGTCCGCCAGATGACCTTTGACAACACCGACGAGCTCTACAAAATTGCCAAGCACTTTCCCGATGCAGAGCTCTACCTGCGCATCATTACCGACGACACCTCCTCGGCCTGCCGTCTCAGCATGAAGTTCGGTGCCCCCATGGACACCACCGACGGCCTCCTCTCCCTCGCCAAGGAACTCGGTCTCAACGTCGTTGGCGTCAGCTTCCATGTCGGTTCTGGCTCCTCTGACCCCATGGCCTATTACCACGCCGTCAAGGACGCCCACCTCGTCTTCCAGCAGGCTGCCAACCATGGCTTCCATCTCCGCACCCTCGACGTCGGCGGAGGCTTCTCCGGCGCCACTTTCGAGGTCAACGCCGCCGTTCTCAGCGGCGCCCTCGACGAGCTCTTCCCGCCCACCAGCAATGTTGAGATCATCGCAGAGCCTGGTCGCTACTATGTAGCCTCGGCCTTTACCATTGCATGCAACGTCATTGCCCGCCGCACCGTGGACGACCCTGCCACCGGTGTTACCTCGTACATGATTTACATCAACGATGGCGTCTACGGCAACTTTTCCAACATTATGTTTGATCACCAGCACCCTATTGCCAAGGTCCTGCGCCGCAACGGCGAGACGGTCTACGACACCGCTCTCGCTGGCCCCGCAGTTGACGGCATCGAGTACTCAGTCTGGGGTCCTACATGCGACGGAATTGACCGCATCACCGAGAGCACCCAGTTCTCTGACCTCGTCGATGTTGGCGACTGGCTATACTTTGAGGACATGGGAGCCTACACCAAGTGCTCTGCTACCCAGTTCAATGGCTTCTCCAACGCTCACGAGGTCATTTACGTGTCCTCCGAGCCGGCCGTCAATGCTCTCATTGGCATCTAGACATTCCCCAAATAGGAAAAAAATCTTTCGCTATCTTTATGTAGAAGAGATGACATAGACAGACTTTTCTTCGGTTGCGCATTCTTGTACCAGCAGCAATGCCTAAGTTCTAGCTAGATTCGATTATCTTTTCGTCTCTCAATAGGAAGAATTTCATTGTCAAAAAGTCACCCATATTATGCCGCAGTGGCGCAGCACACACACGAAAACCTACAATTTGCTAAATTTGAACAACAACATTGTCATGGGTTGCGCCAGCAATGTGAGGTTATGATCGTATATAACACGTCGTGGTTAGGTACTAGAGAGTTTGGCCTGAACCCACATCTACATCAGTTCATTGCAATACTTCAATACGATAGAAACGAATAAAGGTAGCAAGGAATCATTTGTCTGGTGGTATTAAACGCCTCATAGCTAACAATCACAGCAACCACATCACAGCAAAAACGAAAAAAAAAAAAAAAAAGAACCCCCCATAATCTTCCAAATAGACTCCATGCTACCCTTCCCTGAAACCCTTACTATACAGAGTGGCTGTCTCCCATCAGAGGCCCTCTTCTCCTTAGCTGCCGCGGAACAAGAACTGCATGTCCTGGGGGGTCAGCGACTCCATGGCCTTGTCGTCGCCGTTCACTGTCGACTGGATCATGCTAGTCTTCTTCTCCTGGATCAGCACCATGCGGCTCTCAACCGAGTCCTCGATGCACAGCCGCGTAATCGTGCACGGGCGCGTCTGCCCGATACGATGGCATCGATCCGCAGACTGCCACTCGGCCGCCGGGTTCCACCACCTGTTCAAATTGTACAAAAAAAGGTTAATTACACACGCACAAGATCGAGGTAACACGGGGGCGATTGACTTACGGATCGACGATGAAGACACGCGATGCTTCCGTCAAGTTGAGGGCGACGCCACCGGCCTTGAGTGACACGAGGAAGCACTCTACATCCACGTTGTTCATAAAGTGTTCAATCGACGCCTGGCGTTGTGCCGGCGTCATGCTGCCGTCCAACATGACCGTTGTGATGCCCGCGCGGCGTAGACGCCACTCCACAAGCTGTAGCATAGTCGTAAACTGCGAAAATATAATGGACTTGTGCGACGCATTGTCCGAGCGAAGTTTGTGTAGCTCATGAACAAGCAGTTCAATCTTGGAAGACGACGTCCAGTTCTCCATCTTGATACGATTGATAATTGAAGACTTCTTCACCATTGACTGGTCCTGCTCAATCTCTGGTTGCTCCAGGTCAATAGAGAGCGGGATGTGGCATCGCGGGCAGTCGGGCTCGTCGGTGGAGTGTATGTAACCCGACACACAGGCTCGGCAAAAGTCGTGCTTGCAGCGGCTCCGGACGGTATCCTCGGCCGGCTCATCGCAGATGCAGCAGATGAGCACGTTCTGGCCGCCATCCGCATTCTTCTTGAGGATCAGATCGGGATGATCTGCGACCTGACGCATCTGCATGATGAGACCAAAGATGTTGGCATAGTTGTTGAGCAGCACGCCTTGATGAACGTACGTGTCAAACTTGCGTTGACCGTTTGTCATGATACTGCTTGCGAAGTCATTCTCCTCCTCGCCGAAGAACTGACGGTCGACGAACACTTCTTTGACGGGCAACTCCATGGCATTAGTGTGGTCCTTCTTCAAACGGCGGAGCATGATGCGGTTCGTCATCAGCCGAAGCTTGCGAAATGCCTCGCGTCCAGGTCCAAAGTTGCCGAACTTCTGGATCGGGTTGAGAAGCTCTTGGTTGAAAACGGAAACATGCTGCATGCCACCATGACCACAATTATGGCAACGGTTGTCTTCATCCATATTCCACTCCAAAGTAGAGCAAGGGCATTGCTTGCACAGGTACGATGCAAAGGGCTTAATGTTGAGAAATCGAATAAGAGAGAAGAACTCGCCAATTCTGTTCTGAAGGGGCGTTCCAGTTAAGCACCAGCGATAATGGGTTTTGAGAGCGAAGCACGCCTTGGCCGTCATTGTCGTTCGCGTCTTGATGCAGTGGGCTTCGTCCAGGATAATGCGATGAAAGGTAACAGCATGAATCACGCTTTCTTCCTTGTAGAGCCCATCCTTGCGCTTGAATCCACGTTCTTGTTTTCGATAGATGGACTCTAGACTGTTGTACGACATCATAATGACATCGTACTTTTTCAAGTCCTTAACCTGCATGCCCTTTGTCTTGGCATTTGTGCCGTGAAAGACGAACGTCTTCAGCGTGCCATCAGTGTATGACTTCATCTCTGACTGCCACTGCATCAGCGCGACTGGCGGCACCAGCACCAAAGTGGGCTGCTTGGCGGGATAATCGGACATGATGAGCGAAACAGCCTGAATCGTCTTCCCAAGGCCCATTTCATCGCCCAATAGGCCGCCACGCCATTCTTGCTTCTCCATCTCCTTCATCCAGGCAAGACCTTCAAGCTGGAAGGGTTTGAGACGGCGTGAAATGGTCGATGGCTGTTCCGCCCTGCCTGCGTTGATTACTGGCATCTTTTCCAGATCTGTCCACATGGTTTGGAGCTCTGGATGATGAGCCTCGAGACGTTCTCGTTCGGTTACAGCCCGGCGTTTGTTTCCACGCCTGTACCCCCTGCGACGGCCAGACATTCTTTCTAGCAGGCCAGCCGCATCATCAGGAAGGTAAGCCGCAAGATCAGGAAGATCACCAAGGTTTGAACTGGAAGCAGTCTCAGATTCATCGCTGGGAATACTGATAGCGTTCGCACTGCTCATACCGCGAGGCTTGGAAGACTTATTCCCACGCTTGCTAGGACCGGACCTGGATGCAGAAAATGATTTTCCCTGTTTTCCCTTAGGCTTAGACAAAGGTTCGTCATCACTGGAGAGTCCATATATGGAGAAATCGGAATCACTAAGTCCTGCCGAGTCAGAGATCTCAATGGAGACGCCCTTACGATTTGTAATAGCATTGCCCTCATCAAAAGCAGCGGCCGCCGCTATTTCCGCGTCCATGTCAATATCTGAGAGATCGCTATCGTCAGAATACGAGGCAAGACCGTCGTCAGATTCTGAGGCAAGGCTGTCGTAGACTGTTCTGGCGATCTTCAAAGGTCGGCTTGGACCACTAGGAGTCGAATTCGATTGCTCCCTCTTGGGTTGCCGGCGCAGGACAGGGCTCACATCATCAGACCTGGGGCTGTGCTGCAAGTGTTTTGGTACTGTTGTGCGCCGGGACGGGGCTTTGGCGTACTCTTCCTCTTGGAGTCTGCGGGCAACTTTGGCATCCGAGGACTCGTCAGAGAAGGCGCCATCATCGTCGTCGTCAGAATCGTCAACAACATCAGCACGGCGCTTCCCCTTTGCATTGAGTGAAAGGGCACGCTCGCTTTCCGCATAACGGGCTCGGGAGGTAGTGACCTCGATAACAAACGATGGCGGCTTGCCTGCAGACTGCCCGGCCTCGTTTGACATCGGCGTTGGCATCATGCTAGTAGCAGGAGTGAAGTCACTGGCCTCGTCTGAGGTGAGATCTGCAGGCGTGGTGACTTCCGAAACGGTTTCACTGTTGGGTTCTTGAGCAGCACCTCGGCTGAGACGGGTGGCTCGTTTGCTGGCAGCCGAATTTGCCGCCGAAGGAGCTGGCGAGGAGTTTTTGCTTGCGAGGAGAGAGGATCTTGTGGATCGCCTGGGACGCTGGCTTGCTATACGGCAGTAGTCACGGTCAGCAAAGAATAGAAGGAGGGACGGCGCAACGGTCATTCACATACCAGGTGCTGGGGTGGAAGCACCACTAGATGGTTTGCCACGAGGCATCTTGCGATGTCTTTTTGATAAGGATCAGAAATTTAAATGGAAAGTAGATTTTGCCGAGGCCTGGGCTTTGGGGTGCAAGACTTTGACGGGCGCTGTCTTCAGCTCACGGTCAGTGTTGAGTGAGTGGCGAATTGCGTCCAACGTCGTTGCAGGTGCCGCGCACGTAAAACGAAGGATTTGAGGAAAGGCTCAACAAAGCATCGTCAAATATCTCGAATGGAATTGATGGGAAAAGCAGCTGGCCTGCCATCAGAAAGCAGGTGTAAATCGTGGCTTCGTTTCTTTTTGCTGCGACCGTGACTGACTGACTCCGCGGCACAGTGCTAATATGACGACTTGCCCTGGCCGCGCCGTGCAACCCCTTTACACGCCGCACGTGCGGGCCGCGAAAATGCTAAAGAGCCAGTGCGCCAGGTACGCCGCACTGTCCTCTGTTCACGACGCCCCGCAATTCTTAACACTCGCAAGTGAAGCTCTACAGTGCGAATTGGTAGAAAATTTTCAGTCCGATCACGTGCCACCGTGTTAGAACCGCGAAAGGTACTTGACACGCCGTGGCGTTTGCACTGGGCTGTGTCAACTTCATTGAACGCCCACTGTGTAGTTACCTAGCCGCTAACCTTCCCTCTTCACAGCTTGTGTTCTGTTGCACCTTGGTTCTTGATTTTTGCACACTGGTGACAACATTTCCTATCAATCGCAAGTAGTTACGCTACCACAACCTCTCATCATGTCAGTTTGCGGTACCGATTCTATGCCTAAGACTACTAACCGCCTGTTAGGGTCCGGCGGCGATCAGCGGCCAATGGTGCCGACGACGAAGGGACCAATCATCGCAGGAACATCACAGGACCGTAAGCTAGCCGCTACCTCACGCTTTCGTGGAACTCTCTAACAAAAAGAAAATCAGACAATCAGCATTGACGGACTTCCTAGCTGTAAGTCCTCCATAGCCCATCTCAGGGCTGCCCAAATATCTGTCAGACCGCTAACATAGCCCAGTCACATAACATCTCGGCCACTCAGATTCGTAATGAGGCCTTGACGCGTCGACATGCCGCAGCCACGCAAGCTGACGCGAACGCCGATTCGTCCGCGGTGGCGGAATCGAGCACCACCGCAAGCCAGCGTGCGGCTGATGGCAAGAAGCTGACCCAGAAGCAAAAGGAAGAAAAGAAGGCCATTGAAAAGATCAAGGCCAGCAAGTCTTTCAAAAAGCGCAAAAAGTTTGATCGTGATAGCCAACAGGATGATGACATTGCGCGTGCCATTTATGAGCTAAACCACGCGCCCTTGCCTGGTCAAATGGACAACTGTGAAATCTGCGACAAACGATTCACCGTCACGCCATACTCTGTCACAGGCCCCAACGGGGGTTTCCTTTGTGCCCTCTGCGGTCGCGAGATAGCCAAAGAGCGAGAAGGGCAAAAGCCGAAAAAGAAGCCTCGCAAGCAAACGGGCGGCATTGGTGCTCGCCGAACCACGCAAAGCCGAATGCTTGACGGTGATGTAGGGACCAAGAGCCTTGCAACGCTTTGCGTCCAAACCCTGGCAAAGAACGTCGAATTGGCCGAGAGCTTAGGCGACCTGCCGGAGCACCTGATCGATAAGATCGGGCGCATCTTTTCGAAGCGCAGACTACTCAAGCCAGAGACCCTGCCACTCTTTGTTCAACCAAACACTGAAGCTCTGTACATTTATGATGGCGCTAAGCTCGGAGAAAATGAGCTGATCGGTATTTTTCAAGTAGCGACGAAGTTGCGTCACTTCAAAGTGCGATGCGCGATCCAGTTCAAGGATGAAGTCATGGATTACCTCCTCTCGCGCGACATCCGCTTGGAGACCTTTTATCTGCATGGCGCGAACCTGTTGAGCGAAGGAAAATGGCATGAATTTCTTGCTGCAAAAGGCGGTGACCTTCGGACCCTCCAGGTTTACTACACAGACCTGCACTTTGGAGACGACACCATTGTCGAGCTCCAAAAACACTGCCCGCATCTACAGCGACTGAAGGTATCAAATAACCAGAAGCTTACCAGTAAGGGTGTCCAGGCAATCGGGGCACTTTCATCTCTCCAACATCTCGGCCTCCAAGTTCACCATGAGATCACATCAACAGCACTGACGGAGTGCATTTCTGGCGTCGGGGCCAGTTTACAGACCCTGTCGTTGAAGATCTTCCCAGGCGCTGGAGACGAAGTTTTGGAGGCGATTCGCAAAAACTGCCAGAGTATCACTAAGCTTCGAATCACGGACAGCGAAGTCATGACAGATGCCGGTTTTGCCAATCTATTTACGGGGTGGGAGAATCCTGCGGTACCATTTATTGACCTCCAGAAGTGTCGACAACTCGAAGCTGCCAATCCACGGGCGAATCCTGACAATATTGGCCTTTGTAGCGAAGGCTTCAAGGCTCTTATGGCGCATTCCGGGGCAAAGATCAAGCATCTCAATGTCCATGCCTGCCGGCACATCTCGCGCGAAGCGTTTGAAGAAGTCTTTAACGATAAGGCGTTGTATCCAGAACTGCGCTCCTTGGAGGTTAGCTTTTGCGAGGCGGTAACGGACTTTATCCTGGGTAGCATATTCCGGACCTGTCCCAAGATCAAGGAGGTGAACGTGTTTGGATGCATGAAGGTCAAGGAGGTCCCGGTCCCACGCGGGGTGATTCTAGTTGGTGTACCTAATGCACAAGGCATGGTGACCGAGGGCATCCACTGAGGGTATTGGCTCATGGGGTGAGTTGTGGCTGTATGGCACCATAGCTTGAGGAATGACTTGCTTGATGATTTAGCCTAGCGAGGTGTTGAGCGATGCACTTTCAATTGCGGCTTAGTACTGTCGCAATACACCTTGTTTTGGACACTCAGCGAGCTGGGCAGGATATATTCACAGCGAGCTTGGGTGGTAACTTGATGAGAAGTGATAGATACGCAGCCATGATATGTACAAGGACTGAGTGAATGGACTATATACAAAACAGGAGCATAAACAGAAAATGTGCGAAATATGTGCAGGTCTCCCCTTTTCATATGTACTTTGATCGCGCATGCTGTGATCGTCATACGGCCTCGTTAGACGGGGCTGTCAACTCTGGTTAACAAGCGCAACCTCCCCCCCTCCTCCTCTAGGCCAAGGCTCGCCCCCCTATTTGCTCCCATTCACCAGGGCCTGGTCCTGCTCGCTCCAGTTGGTCAGACGTTTCTTGAGCTCGTCGTCGGAGGGCTCGTCGTCGTCGCGCTTCCACCGGATGCCCACCGGCGCGCAGTCGGCCGTGTCGGTCAGGTAGTGGAGGTGCGCGAGGATGTCGAAGCCGAACGTGCCCGCGTTGCACGCGACGCTCGCGATGCCCGTGCAGACCTTGACGTCGGCGGTCTGGTAGCGGTTCTGCATGGCGCCGCCGTTGGACAGCCAGTACTCGGCGCCGCCGTGGCGGTACCCGAAGATCATCGGCGGCAGGCGCGGCACGGGATCGTCCGTGTGCGTCATGCGCAGCAGCAGGCCGCCGGCCTGGGCGTTGGCGAAGTTGGCGAAGGCGTCGTTGCCGACGCGCGGCGCGCCAAAGGTGTACACGTCGGCGGGGATACCGGCGCGGCGGAGGTAGGCGCCGCCGAGGGCGGCCACGGCGCCGCCGAGCGAGTGGCCGGTGACGACGAGCTTGTAGCCCGGGTTGGCGGCCAGGCCCTCCTTGATGGCAGAAGTGGCGGCGGCGGAGATTTCGTTCCAGGAGTCGGAGAAGCCAATGTGCATCTTGCAGCCGGGGGCAAAGTCACAGTCGCGCTTGAGGAAGAGCACGTCGGTGATGAAGTTTCGGATGTTGTTGCTGCCGCGGGTGGAGAAGACGACCTCGCGGCGGGTGTCGTCGACGGAGACGTAGCCGGCGATGCCGGTCTTGCGGCCGGAGAAGGTGTCGATAATGGTGGCGCCGTTGCGCATCACGTCGTCGCACTCGCCGCCGCAGGCCACCGAGTCGCCGGGCGAGGGGCCGACAGCGTTGCAGTAGGCGGCGGCGGCGTGCTGTGCGTAGAAGCGGAAGTTGTTCATCATGCCGTCGTTCATGGCGGCGGCTATCGTCCAAGTTAGCATGTTGGTGTTGCAATTATGGGCTGAAGGGACATACCTCGTGGTTCCATGGAAGACAGGTAGTCAGCCATTGGACTGGCTGCCACAGCCGTGGCGAGGGAGAGGAGGGCGACGCGCATGGTCACTGTGTAAGTGGTATATATATGGATCAGAACTAGGGAGGAGATGCGGGAACTGAAGCCGCCTTTGATGATGAGGCTGGGAAAGTTGATGTGAGTCTGCTAGTAGAAATCGCTTCTCTTCGTGGACCGGACAAGGTCTTATATATACACGACATCGTGAGCTGACCTGGAATGGCTCTCGCCATGGCCCCGTCTGAGCCTCACGACATCGTCTTAACGGAAACGGGGGGCACAATTCGGTCCCAACGCACCGGCGCGCATTTGCCACGTCGCTATCCCCGCACGCAGCGGAGTGCCCTATTTACAAATCTGCTCGCCAGGGGCGTATAAAAACGAAGATATGACTGCAACGCTTGGTCATGAGACGGGCCCGCCAGTATGGGAACGGAGCGTACGTTGTAGGGCAAAAGGGCGAGGTCGTTCGCAGGGCCCACGTACTGGCCCATCATTGCTTGGCAGGAACCCAGCATCGTGCGTCAAAGAGCCCAAACTACTAATCAAAGGGCAAAGACGAACAAAGAAGGTTGAAAAAAAAAGAGCAAGTCGTGGAGTTGTGTAGTGGTGTCGCGTCGGGCTACTTGCCCGGACCGGCATAGCCTCTGGCAAAGGGAGTTGGGAAGCTGCAAGGGGGTGGATGCTTATCTAGTAATTCGGCGCTTCTCCAACCCGGGGAACCAAAGGACGGCATTGACGGGCTGTTCGGCGATGATGGTCCTGTCTACTCAGCTCGCCTGCGTGATGGACTTGCGGATGCCGTTACCCCTTCGCACCCTCCGTTCTACAAACAGGACGGAGAAGATTTGCAGCTGTATTTCAGTAAAGACAACATTGCATCTCCATCATGAATAAGCCAAAGTCAAGTTATTTGGGTCAGCTTTGTCAAAGTCACAGGCAGCCGCCGTAATCCGCCACCCGCTTTTCAGCTATAATGGTGTTTCCGACTTGTCGTAAGCAGGCGGCGGCGGGAAGTGCGAAGCGGCTACAGACAGGATGGATAGCCTCGTTTACGGAGAAGCCACCGTTTGGGAATGTTGCATCGACGCAGCTGTAGGTGCAGCTTTTTCGGGAGAAGAAGTCGAGGGGCTGTCATTCCCAGCCCACAGACATGGGCATGGCTGGGACGATTTGAGCTATGAACTTCATCCTTCATTCTGACCTTCTGGCCTTGGGCCTTCACGCGAGCCTCGTTAGCCGGACGTCTGGCTTCTCGGCTGCACCAATAGCGCCGGAGCAACTCCCCCAAACCATGCCACGTATAGTTGAACCAACTAGTGATGATTTCTGGGTTCTAGTTCTGGGTTCTCACGCCTGCGACATGAAAGCGAGTTTCATATTTTTTTCCTGTCATCTGAGCAGCCCCCATCTCACCGCCATAAATTGGGGTCAGAATGCCTGCATCCGTGGACTTGTGTGGGTTTGCGGGGTGGGTTGGGTGATGCGCGCAGTTCTTCGACAACGTCTTGTCGATCACTGATTGTGCTACAGAGACGGGCTTATGGACGACTTTTTTGTTTGTTGGTTGTGTAAAAGATTTCCTTTGTGGGATATATTGCTGTGCAACGCCGTTCAGTGTTGTCTAAAGAATTGGCTCTGCGATCCGCAGCTTATTAGTTTGGCACCTTTTTTCCAGGAGAAGATGCAGTGGAGATGGGTTGTGCTCCTTGCTAAAAGCTTCCGAGGAGAGCCTTGGGATACCACCGAGCGCCCTATATCAGAAATGCGGATTTGTCTTATTATTATACCAGCGCATGACTCCAACATCTATACGATGTGCGTTGCCAAGATCCGGTGAGCGAGCCCTCTCTCCCCCTCCGTTACTATTACTGGTAGCCTGTGCTTTGGCTCCTCCCAAGCCTTGTCCTGCATCATCATCATGATCCTTCAGCCTAGGCGTCACAGGCGGGCATGCGATGTCACGGCTGAAGGGCAACCTGGGGTATTAGTGTGTTAGTTAGTGGATGCGAACTGTGGTGGCTTCATCAAACCTTCCTAAGAGGGACAAATCGCCGTGATGGGGTAGATGATATATGATATAGCGCGGTCGATCCGGCGAGGGTTAGCTTACTATTACGACTCGGACCACCGATGCCGATGCGGGCTTTTTTCGAATAATGAAGAAGAAAAGTTGACCATGTTGATGCCCTGTCTGGTCTCGTCAGGAAACGTGGCGTCGGTGCCGGCGCTAGCTGACAGGTCGTGTGGTTACATGCATGGAATGGGGGGCCGAGGAGGCACATCAGTCTGGGGAAGTAAAATGCTTGTGAAAATCGCTCGTCATTACTTGCAGTTGAGGTTCTACTGAAGAGCAGTTGATGGTCCAGAAGCAGCTCCTACCTATGTATGTATGTACCTACCCTAGACAGGAGCCTTAGTACGTACTCAATTCAAGTAAACAGCCACGCCAAGCGTCACCTGAGCCGTGAATTTTCTTGCAAAAAAAAATCAATTACGGATATTATAGCCGGAAATGCTCATGCATAACCACCATGCATGTCTCCATGATGTAAAATGAAAGATGCAATATTACGCACGATATACCCCGCGTCAAGCTTAGAAGTGCTGTGGCTGGAGCGCTGCACCGGCCAGTCCGTCTCAGGTTAGCAGCGGGAAGCTCCCTAGTTCAAGGCCTGGACCTTGACGACCTTGATAGCCCGTAGGAAGCCGCAGCCTAGCTGGACTTTTTCACTCCTAGGGTTATACCTATGTACGAACTTACATAGCTACCTACTTATCTAGATACATATGTAGGTAGCTTTCAGCATAGTTGTAGATGACAAGGACGATGGACATGATATAGAACTTGATGGTCAGGCACCAAATGCTGCCGATTCAAACCATGGCGCTGCTCTAGCCTTGTAATAAAATCATGGCACGCGATGTGGCCCTTGCGCCCATTGGTCAAGTCACAAGTCGGACCAAGCAGCTGGCGCGTGCTGTTTTCATCACACCCATCTATACAGATAAGCAGCTGAGTATCTGTCTTAAAAACGCCGATTATTTGTTGGAATGACGGAAAATAAGATGACGACCGTTGTCTTGACGTCCGAGCAACTTGATAAGTTGTTGCGCAATCCGAGTCAAAGCACTCGACGCGTGTCTCACCGTACTGTCGCCAACAAACACGTCCGTCGGGTAACTGACTAGTTAGTTTATCATGGCCCATCTATCAGACTACTCTGTATCTACTGGTAGGTCCTATTGATGGCGTGCACCTTGCTGCTTGCTCTCCATCACTACTAACTAGGACTTGGACTGTCCGGCATGGCACATCTTGCAACCTACTGCTACGCTAACAGTCCATCCATGCGGCGACGAGGTGTCATTCTCATTCTCCCCAGCATGTGGCCGGGTCCTGCCTTGCTTGCACCCGTCATCAGATGCAGGCCCGATGCTACATACAGCACCACAGCACCACAGCACCAGTCGCGCTGCCTCTTTTCGGCCTCGCCACGAGACTTTTGAGACTTTTGGCTGGCTGACTGACTGACAACCTGCAGGTGCAACATTGCTTTCTTTGCCCTCCTAGCGGTCCGCGTCTTTCCTTCTTCGCGTGCACGTTCCTTTTCTCCTGCTCACTTAAAATGAGTGAGCTCATCTAATCTCACCATCAACATCTCCGAGGGCAGCTTGGCCATTGCTGCAGACAGAAAAAAAAAATGCTGCAAAAATCCACCATCACCGTGGTGGCGGGTGCGCTTACCTTGGTCTCAGCATCAGCATCAAGCTTCGATGCACCCCCATACTATCCGGCGCCGTACGGTGGCTGGGTGGATGAGTGGAGGGACAGCTACAGCAAAGCAAAGAAGCTGGTCGATTCCATGACATTGGCCGAAAAGACGAATATTACCGCCGGAACTGGAATTTTCATGGGTAAGTCAATCAAATCTGGCGCTCTCAAACCGGGCTATATATGGATAAGGAGGAGCGATGCAGCCATCCATCCCATCCTGTAACAGCCCGCCGTCATCTTAGTGCCCAACAGACAAAAAGGCGTATGTAGGAAACAAGGCTGACTCGGAAATAGGGTATGTGTCCGGGCTCACTTATAATTGTGTCATGTATTACGCCTAGCATAATCACAGGCAGGTACTAATGCTATCGCTTTTCTAGCCGCTGCAATGGAAACACCGGCTCGGCTCTTCGCGTGGGATTCCCCATGCTGTGTCTCGAGGATGGCGCCGCAGGGATTCGACAAGCCAATCTCGTGAGCGTCTTTCCCGACGGCATCACGGTCGGTGCCACCTTTGACAAGGAGCTTATGTATCGGAGAGGCGTCGCCCTCGGCCAGGAGGCGCGTGGCAAGGGCGTCAACGTCCTTCTCGGCCCTACAGTCGGGCCCATTGGACGGAAGCCAAAGGGTGGCCGCAACTGGGAGGGCTTCGGCGTCGATCCCACGTTGCAGGCTAATGGAGCTCGCGAGACTATCAAGGGAATCCAGGAACAGGGTGTTATCGCCACCATTAAGCACCTAGTCGGCAACGAGCAGGAAATGTACCGCATGTACAACCCCTTCCAGCAAGCCTATAGCTCCAACATCGGTAACACACGCCCTCTCTGGCTCGTCCATGGCCTTCCCGAAGCTAACCACCATCAAAGATGACCGCACCCTTCATGAAGTCTATTTGTGGCCATTTGCCGAAGGTGTCCATGCCGGCGTGGGGGCCGCCATGACTGCATACAACGCTGTAAGTCGCATCCTGAAGCTGTTCGCATATATAGAGATCTATATTGTTAATTAATCAAATTCAGGTAAATGGCTCCGCATGTAGCCAAAGCCCCAATCTCATCAGTGGTATTCTCAAGGATGAGCTTGGCTTTCAAGGCTTCGTCATGAGCGACTGGCTCGGTCACATGTCTGGCGTGGAGTCCGCCCTGGCCGGCCTGGACATGGACATGCCCGGTGACACTCAGGTTCCGCTCTTTGGCTTCAGTTATTGGATGTACGATCTGACCAGATCTGTTCTCAATGGCTCGGTACCAATGACCCGTTTAAACGATATGGCAACTCGCATCGCCGCCACCTGGTATCAAATGGGCCAAGACCAGGGCTATCCGGCCACAAACTTTCACTACAACACCAGAGATACCGTGGGAGCCCTTTATCCAGCAGCTTGGCCAGAATCTCCCATCACTGTCGTCAATGAAAATATTGACGTCAGGGCTGACCACCATCTTGTAGCTCGACAGGTGGCTCAGGACGCCATAACTTTGCTCAAGAACGACGGTGGACTGCTCCCACTTTCCAAAGAGCGGTCCATCAAAGTATTTGGTACGGATGCTGCAAAGAACCCCGATGGGCCAAACGCTTGCCCAGACCGCAATTGTAACAAGGGCACGCTTGGCCAGGGCTGGGGAAGCGGTACATCGGACTACACATTTATGGAGGATCCCATTGAAGCTCTGCAGGCGCGTGTCAAGAACGTCACTTTCTACAACACGGATTCTATCCCTCTGTTTTTGCCAAATACGACGGATGACGTCGCTATTGTCTTCATTAGCTCCGATTCGGGCGAAAACACATATACGGTTGAGGGGAACCATGGTGACCGCGATGCGTCCAAGCTAAATGCTTGGCATAACGGCGACAAACTCGTGCAGGATGTTGCCAACAAGTATCAGAATGTGATTGTTGTCGCTCACACAGTTGGCCCTATACTCTTGGAGCAATGGATTGAGCTGCCCACAGTCAAGTCAGTGCTAATCGCCCACTTGCCAGGGCAGGAGGCCGGTACGTCACTTGCTGAGATCCTCCTCGGAGAGGTATCACCAAGCGGACATCTACCGTATAGCATCACACATACTGAAGAAGACATGCCGCAAAGCGTCACCAAATTGATTGACTTTGAGTTTGGCAACCAAGCCAAGGATGAATATAGCGAAGGTCTGTATATCGATTACAGATGGCTGAACAAGCAAAAGATCAAACCACGTTACGCTTTTGGTCATGGCCTCAGCTACACCAACTTCAGCTTCAGCGACGCGGCCATTATCAAGGGCATCTCGCTCACCAGGACACCCCCAGCCCGGACCGAGAAGAGCGGCATTCTGGACTACTCACAAGCCATCCCTGATGCAAGCGAGGGAGTCGCGCCCAACGGGTTTCACAAACTCTCCCGCTATATCTACTCATGGCTGCAGCAGTGGGAAGCCAATGACGCCGTCAAAGATGCCAAGACCAAAAAGTATCCGTACCCGGAAGGCTACTCGACTGCGCAGAAGCCTGGTCCGCGCGCCGGCGGTGGTCAGGGCGGCAACCCGGCACTCTGGGACACGGCCTACACGCTGTCGGTCAGCGTGGCCAACGTCGGATCCGAGCACGCCGGCAAAGCATCTGTCCAGGCGTACCTGCAGTTCCCAGACGACGCGGGCTACGACACGCCTGTCATCCAGCTGCGAGATTTTGAGAAGACGCGAACGTTGGCGCCCAACGAGTCCACGACCGTCCAGCTGCGGCTGACGCGCAAGGACTTGAGCGTCTGGGACACGGAGATGCAAGACTGGGTGGTGCCCAAGGTTGACGGGGCCTATAAGGTATGGATTGGTGAGGCCAGTGACAATCTGGGCACTGTCTGCCGCGTCGACACGATGAAGTGTGAGAGTGGCGTCAAGGGCCCGGTCTAAGTGGTGTATTTGCTGCGATTAATGTGGTGTTGTGTATATGCGAGAGACGAGGTTCGTACATTTAAGGCCCTCAATGTAGACCAATTGATAAAGATGTGCAAATAAATTCGCCAATAATGTGTAATGTACATTGTATGATTCGAGGCCAGCACCAGCGCTTCTGTGGTCTATCTTCAACAGTAAATGTTACACGCCTCCAGTCCGAAAACGGCAAGTCGAGGTTCGTACCCTCCATCAGTCGTTACCGCCATCCGCATCCCACACTTCGTATCGTCGTCGTTCAGTGGCAACCCAGCTTGGCGCGGCGCTTCTGCCGACGACGCTTCAGGATCGCGCGCCCCGTGCGCGTGCGCGTGCGCCCCAGGTAGCCGTGGCGGCGCTTCTGCACCAGCCGCGTCGCGCCGTTCATCGTGTTGCGCGGGCCGCACCGGATCTGCGCCGCGCCGCCGGCCAGCGCTGGGTGCGCGGAGATGGAGCCCGGCGCGACCACGTCGACGACGCCAGTGGGTGTGAAGCGGAGGGGGGCGGTGGGCGGTCGGGAGAGGCTCGGCCGGAGGGGGGAGAGCGTGGTGAACGTCCTGCGAGGGAGGTGGTTAGTGAGTATGGCGATGGCGAGGAGGGGAGAAGGGGAGTGGCGACGGACCGGATGGGGAGTGCTTTGAACGTCAGCACGGGACGGGCTATGCGGGCGAGTGCTTGCATCGTGGCGGGCGGTGCATTGGGGTTGAAAGGTTGTGAGATGGAGGAAGAAGTTGACGATGGCTGGCTTTGGAGTCTGTAAATTTCAGGGGATGCTGATTGGCTGAAGTAGCTCGAGTCTTGAAATTGTGGGTCAAGACCTTGAGTGCGATGACCATCGATGATCGGTGATTTTATATCATTTTGGTTATTTTATTCTTTTTTTCTCTATCAAGATGGCGTGAGCATATTTCATGATTTTTTTATATCTCTGGAAAATCTAAATGTTTTAAGTCGTAGCGTTGCACCATCACATCAATGGGGGCTTCGATAACTGCTCACGCGAGTTTCTCTCAAATTATGACAGAGTCTGAATGAGGAGGTGTCAAATCTTTTAATTCGACCCATGGTTCTCTCTCAGATGAACAACCAGCGTGGTGATTTCAATTTGTCCTGATTTCTCTGTCGTATAACCAGATCATTCACCACCATGTACAATGCCCGAACCAATCATGCTGAAAACAAACTCTGCTGAGGCTGAGCCAACCATACGCCATTTGCGCCCATCATTGTATCCCAAATCGAAATCGTGCAGTTCCTCCATACTATTTTGATCACCGTCTTCACAAAGCGGGCTTGCTTTGCCTCTTGGCTCCCGCCATGGACTCCGTACCCCCCCCCGGTCTTGCCGCCGTTTCACAGAGCGCGAAAGTTTTGCGACATGATCAGCCACTTCTTGAGGCCGCGGGGCGGGTTCCGCGCCAGGGCGTCCCAGTTGGGCACCAGCACAAACGTCTCGTTGAACATCTTCTGCGGCGCCTCCTTGCCGCGGCCGAAGCGCACGCGGCCGACCGCCGTCACCGCCAGGCTCATGCGGGAGCCGGCGCGCTCGGCGCGCTCCGCGTCGTTCAGCTTCTCGGGCATACCCACGGTAAAGGACGGGTTCAGTACGTGCGCGTCGAGCGACTCGACGTCATAGTGCACGCCGCTGCCCTGGGCCTCGATGAGGGCCAGGTAGTCGGCGGGCAAGGCGAGGACCTGCCCGTTGATGGAGATGTCGGCGGGCTTCGGGTACCGCGGCGACGAGTTGACGTAGAAGTTTTGCAGGTTGGACTTGCTGTTGATGGCCTGGTAGTACGTGTTGATGAAGTTGTCGGCGGCTGGGGTTCGTCTCTTGTCAGGCTGTCTGCCTGGGTTGTGGCCGAATGGGCGTTTTTTTAGCACTTACCTTCGCTGGAAACCTGCACCTGCGTATGCGCGTCCGGGAGATTCGAGCCGCTCATCTTTTTTTCGGTGTGATATATGAAAAGACCAATATATTCGATGCTTGATTATATGGCTTTTCTCCTCTTTAAGCGACGGGAGAAAGTGAGGTGCTGGATGAAGAAGCTGTACCACCAGGCTGCGCAGATCCACTCTGTTATTCCCCAAGTCTGCAGAAACGCCACACATTCTACATACATGATTATGGCTCTCCCCGCTATGGTATGTCGTAACATTACTACAATGACAATGAGCAGAATAAGCTCACCGCAAAGACTGGAGTTGCTTGTAACTTTGGTAGAATAGAAAACGATAGTTAGCAACTCTTGATAGCTTTATCCGCAACAGCTAATCTAGAAGAGTCGCCTGACGTTGAGCAATGACTGACCTGTTTATAAAACGAATAATGGCTATATTACCTATTATCTTTTACTTCCATATTATCTACATTATCTGTAATATATTTGCTCATATTTAGTATCTAAATACCTCACTGCGGCCCTCGAAATCTTTGTAGCTCCCAATTAACGTCGGCGAGGAACGTCCGGCTGTTGTACGGCGTGATGTAGCCTTTCGAACAATACTGTTCTTGTCGCACCCGCTTTCTTCCCCGTTCATATCTACCATCATTTGAATCGTCCTTGCTATCATTATCATTATCGTCATCTTCATATGCCGGTCGCCGTCTCTTAGACGGATCGCCGGGCGCAGTCTGTGTTAGCGTGTGTCTCGACGGCGTCAATGGGAGGTCCGACCGGCCGCTGAACGGCGTGCTACCTCCACTGCCTGTGAGGACGAGACTTGTACCCGTTCCCGATGTGCTTGTCCTGCTCACTGCTTCCCGTGTCGGCATTTCCTGCATGGGGCGCTTTGCCGCCATGTTTTCAATGCAGCACATGTCGTAGTGGTGGCGGAGGGCCATGCGGTCGACGCTCGACGCCACCTGTGCCTTTTTCCCGTGGTATGGTTCCAGCGCTTTGTATGGCACAAAGACGCGGATGCGTAGTGTGGTAGGATGAATAGAAAAGAGGCGCGTGTCAAAGAAGTCATGGAGATGCCTCATCAGCAGGATACCATTGTCGGCGCTCCAAGTCATGTGCCACGCCTAGCAGAGGCGATGTGCACTGTCCTCGGGCATGCTGTCTCCGTTTCCGTCCTCCATTGGATAGAGGTGGAAGTGCTGCTGCGGTACAATGTGGCAGGCTTGCACGCCTGGGCCGATGGGCTGGATTGAGCTCCAAGGCTCGCCGTCGCCCGACACGGCGCAGCAGGTGGACTGAGCAATGCATTCCATGCGAAAATCGCTGACCTGTTTCTTAGCCGAGTCCATGTTAATATCCAGGCTGGCGGGCGCGATCATGTTAGCGTAGTCATCATCGCCGTCGCCGTCATCGGGTTTGCTAGGCGAAGTCAAGCCGGCGGAGCGCTTAGGAGGCGATTGCGAGCGAGCCTTGAGTTTGCGTCGCAAGGGCATTATACTGAGGCGAGGGTCTGATTGGGTCTTGTTGTACGGTAGGTACGACGGGTGGTTAAAACGGCGGGGGTCGGAAAGGTAGTGGGCGCATTGTGCTACACATGTTAGCTATGATGTCCAGCATACGGACGCGACTGACAACGGACCATGAAAATGATCTTCGAGCGAGCCGGCGGCAGGGCTGCAGTCCCCGTGGCGCACAATGTGACAGGTTAAAGTTCTTGGCTCCCGCATACTAGGCGATGACACTGCGGGCACTACCTTGTCAGGCTCTCGCGGGTGATGAAAGTTGGATATTCAGTCCTGTCGGCCGCCTCATCAGCAACATTCGCTAGCGCGAAAGCGATGTTGTTAGTCCACGAATTGTTGACATTGTCGCTATTCTCTTGTACATCGTGGAAGCTCAAAGCAAAGCCCCAGCTCAACGCAGATGTCAGCAAACGTGAGGGTCGGGGCGCGGGGGTTCTGGTACAAGCCTGCAAACTCCTGAGGGCGTTCGCGGGTTCCAATCGTCAGTCGTACGTTCCAGCCAGCCGCACGCATCGGTGCCGTCACTGCGCTCGCCATTCTGCCGTGTTTAGCGGATGTGAGTTGGCATTTAGGCGCGGTTCAGGAGGAAAATAAGGTAGACAGCCAGGCAGGTATGTTTGTAATTGCTTAATGGCTCCTTGGGCCCAGGGGCCACTGGGTGACTAAGTCAGTGCGCTGACCTAACAACAACAGAAACATGTAGTTAGATGGGTAATATATACAATACATGTACATAGTATATAAAAAGCGATTTACTATCTTTGCCTACTGTATCTGTACCTAACTTTCACGAATTGTCCGTGGTTGTGTTACTCGCATGTGCCTCCACTGGGCGCTTGACCCGGACGACTTGGGGCTAACTAAAGCTGGAGCCTCTTGACTTCCTGACAACAAAACTTGACCGCGCGAACATCCAGCAACAGAAATGAGACTGCAGCAGTTGCAGCCCCTCAGGGGCATGCAGGCGAAGCCATTGAAGCGCCTGGCTAGGCCTTCGTGGATTTGCCCTAGCTGTCGCCCCAATGGCCCGTCGTCGCGCCGCTGGAACAGCTCCGCGCAAACCCAGGAGAAGCCCTTCTACGTCACCACGCCCATATTCTACGTCAATGCAGGTATGCAAGCCGGAAGACATACTCGAGGGCCAACAGAACTGACTTCGCAGCTCCTCACATTGGCCACCTCTACTGCACCGTCCTCGCCGACGTGGTCAAGCGATGGCAACAAATTAACGGCAAGACGGCCTACCTCTGCACCGGCACCGACGAGCACGGCATGAAGATTCAGCGCGCCGCCGCGAAGGAAGGCATGGACCCGAAATCGTTCTGCGACCTCAATTCGGACAAGTTCCGCAGCCTGACGTACGATGCCGACATCTCTAACGACTTCTTCATCCGCACCACCGACCCGGACCACAAGGATGCCGTCGCGCAGTTTTGGCTGCAGCTCAAACACGCGCTGCCGCGGCAACTCGGCCTCTACAAGGGTACCCACGAGGGCTGGTACTGCGTCAGCGACGAGTGCTTCTACCCAGATGACCTGGTGCGGCCCGGCATCGTGCCGCAGACGGGCAAGAAGATCATGATCAGCGTCGAGTCGGAGAACGAGGTCGAATGGGTCAAAGAGGAGACGTGGTTCTTCCCGCTGACCAAGTATAAGGATGCACTGCTGAAGTTCTATGACGAGAATCCAGACTGGGTCAAGCCGGCGAATCGCATGCAGGAGGTGCGCGACTGGGTCGAGAACCATCTCGAGGACCTCTCCGTCACCAGGCCCGTGTCGCGACTCAATTGGGGTGTTTCCGACCCTGAAGATCCCTCGCAGACTATATACGTCTGGGTCGATGCCCTCATCAACTACATCACAAAGGCTGGCTACGGGAGCAAATGGCGCAGCGCGACCGAGGACATGGGCATCTGGCCCGCGGACCTGCAAATCATTGGCAAGGACATTTTGCGCTTCCACGCCATCTACTGGCCGGCGCTACTCCTTGCACTGGGTCTGCCGCCTGCGAAGGGCATCTTGTGCCACAATCACTGGACCATGTCCAATCGCAAAATGTCCAAGTCGCTCGGCAACGTCGTCAACCCCGTCTTTGCCCTCCAGCGCTGGGACGTGGACCCCTTGCGGTACTTTCTCATGCGCAACGGAAACCTGACCCGAGATATGAGCTATTCTAATGACATTATTGCCGCCATCTACGGAAAGGAGCTGCAGGCTAACATTGGCAATCTCTTCTACCGCATTGCGAAACCGAAAAGCGCTTCTGGTTGGTCGACGAAGCAGGCTGTCGAGGCGAGCAATAGCGGTGCCTTCAAAAACTTAGACGAGGTCAAGACGAGGGAAGAATATGCGCAATTCTTCTCGTTAGAGCCCTTCCTCGCGCGAGCTACAGACGCCGTGTCCAAGGAAATGGAAGACTATAATACAAGCGGTGCCATCCGCGAAGTGTTCGAACTGTTAAGAGAAGTAGGTCGCGCATTCCACGCTCCATAGGCACACATACTTACAGCTCTTCTAGACGAATCGATTCATCACTGATACCCAACCCTGGGTTCTCGCCAAACAGACAGGGCCCCTATCGCCGCTGCTCCTGAACTGGACCATCCACCGCAGCGCCGAGGCCCTGCGCATCGCCGCCATCCTCATGCAGCCTGTCATGCCTGGCAAGATGAAGCGTCTGCTCGACGAGATGGGCGTGAAGCCAGAGCGTCGCACCACGGCCCACGCCCATCCCGGCGCGGACGACGCCTACGGCACCACCAACGTGACCAAGTCCAATCACGACCGCGCCAACAAGCACCTGACGCTATTCCCGCCCATGGCCAGCGGTGATGTCTCGGATGCCGAGGTGCTGCAGCGGCTCAAGGCGCATCTGGGGACGAGGGGAGCGGCCAAGTCCAAGATGAATCAGATGGTGGAGCTGCTGGCCATGGAGGCGAGAATGGGCGAGGCGCAGGTGGCCAAACTGCTCGAAACTGATCTTCCCGTGGAGCAGACACCGCAAGATTTGAAATGAGTTGAAAGCTGCATGTCTCTGTAAATTAGTGTAATTTTATGGCATTATTGTACCATGTACACAACTGTTCTGTACATTAGTTCCAGGCACAGAAATACCCGGTACCTACTGTACGGTAACCTACGGCTCTTCCTTCCATCACAACGCTGCGAAGCATCTTCATTGAAAATTCCCTCTTGAGTTATTTTGGAGTAGATGCTATTGGCTTCGGATTTCGGTATTGAAAACGATGTGTACTCAGGTTTCCTGGCAGAACAATGCTTGAATGAAAGGTCAGGTTAGCACACCAAATTGTGCACTACGGCTGAGTACTATGTGTGCTCGGAGGGACATGAAGAACATGTCGCTTCGACGCTATGCAATAATTCTAGTCTCTATGTAATTTTCATAAGTGAAAATATCAAAGCTATCCCGTAAAATCGCAAACCTCTAATAAAATTATTGTTTCATTACGCAGAACAATCGTCAGTTCCCAGCTACTTTGAAGGAGTACTGTAAGTGTGGCGCAAACACCGCCACATGTTGACCAGCCACAGCCAAAAAACAAAAAATCTGGCCCGTGCGTTCTTGCTCCCCGCGAGTCCGCGCACAAAAAGTAATATCTGCAAAATCCAGCCGAAACTACTCTGATCACTGTTCAATCGTAATATTTGTCGATCCAACAACACAACACCGCCAAAATGCCTCGTGAAGTCGCCGATATCAAGAAGGTACGCCTCTACTCAATATGTGCTTCATGCAATAAATTAGGCACAACTTCTAACTTGCGTGACGATAAGTTCATCGAGATCTGCCGCCGGAAGGATGCCTCCTGTACGTTTCTGCTCGCTCAAAATTCGAACGCCTCGTCACCGGCACGAAAGACTCCCGATATCGACGATGGAACTGTGATGGAACAACTTTTACTAACAAAATTGGACAGCCGCGCGCATCAAGAAGAACAAGAAGGCCCAGAACATCAAGTTCAAGGTCCGCTGCCAGAAGCACCTGTACACCCTGGTGCTCAAGGACACCGAGAAGGCCGAGAAGCTGAAGCAGTCCCTCCCTCCCAGTATGCGACCCCATGCGACATGGCGCCGAGTTTGGAAATCTTTTTGAAGCGCGGCGCGCCAGATGGCACTGCGTCGGACCAGGGCATTCCAATTCGGCGCAATAGCTCCCATACAACGGTCTTCTGCTAACAGCTACAACAGCCCTCCAGATCACCGACGTCTCCAAGAAGAACTAATCTGCATTCGAAAAAAAAAACAACGGAAAATCTGGACAGAATGGAATGAAGGGTATACAAAAGAAAGTCACGACAAATGGGACGGGGTTGGTGGCCGATCCTCAGTAGGGGATGAAGGATTCTACATGCACACACATTGGGCGTCTCGGGAATACCTTGCATTTTATGTGCTTGAATCGCGCGCTTGATAGAGATCAAATGAACGATTAAGGACATGTACACAAAAAGAGCGACGAGGCCGTTTGCGCAGTGACTGTGGCTCGTGCATGGAAGAAAGAAACTACCTGACAGCGGCATGTCGGGGATACTTTACACTAATTTACGAACACAGCATTACCAACACCATATCGACCTTCTTCTTCGTCCGTAGGGCGCACCAATCACGGGGCTATCTCGCGCAAGTGCAGCTCGCGGCCTATGGGCTTGCCGTGCTGCTGGAGCGGCGCTAGCCTGTTGGCGTCGAGGTCGGCGTTGCGAAATACGACAAGCTCCTCTTGGTCCTTTTCCTTCTCGATGCGCCACCCGGCCCAGACCCTATCCTTTGGGTCCTCCGCGACCAGCGCCTCCTCGAGCTGACGGTAGGCGGCCTGCAGCTGCTCGCGGCCGCCGGCGCCGCCCCCCTGCGCGGCGAGGCGGGTGACGACGAGGGCCTCCTTCGAGGAGAAGGCCTGGTGGAGGACGGCCCGGCGGCCGGCGGTGTCCATGTGGAAGAAGAGGAAGCCGGGGTGGGGGGAAGCGGCGGCACCGGCGTCGTCGCAGTGGTGGTCGGGGACGGCGCCGCCGGGGAGGAAGGCGGCGAAACGGGCCATGATGCCGCGGTTGGCGGCGGTGTCGATCCATTCGTGGTGGGCGGCGGGCGACTGCCACGGCGCGGTGATGGCGACCCGGTCGGGGGACAAGGTGGTGTCTGTGTACATGCGGCTCACGCAGGCGCGCTTGGCGCAGTCGTTGGGGTGGTTGGCGCGGACCCAGTCGTCCTGCACCTCCTGGCACTCCATGACGACCTCGAGCAGCTCGATGGGGTCGTAGCTGTCGCGGAGGGTGAAGACGGCGAACTCGGTGACGGGCATGGTGTTATCACGCGGTCGGACCTGTTACGACCGTATTGTAGTGGTAGTTGATGCTGTTGGCGATGACGATTGATGCGGTGGCTTCGGTGCCTATCGTTGCGGGCTGGTGAGATGTTCTCGGGTAGCTGGTGAGGAATTAAAACATGGAGCTTGGAGATTGAGCTCTGCTTCGTAATGCACTTGCTACCTAATTAGCTGCGGGGGAGACTGACGGACTCGGGAAGCTGGACTGGTGGTGAGGGGCGAATTTACGTTTACTGGCGTATTGCATTTGGGGAGGTGGCAGGTGAGGTGACGACTACCTACTAATTGGGCGAATGGGTTCAACGGAGCGGGCTTAGCTGGTCAAGGTAAGGATTAGGAAGTTAGCGGGGAGGCTGCTAAATAACGTTTTCTGCATCATGAAGCAGCGAAGATAGATTCAGTCAAGGCAATAGGTGCCAGGTAAGCTTGTGCAGGCAACAGGCTGACTACAAGTGGATTTGTGTGGTTAACGCCATGCTCGGAAATTATCTACCTTGTGGGATGAGATGCGTATCGGTCAGTTACGATAACTACCAAGCGAACGAAGAAGGAATTAAAATGAAAAGCAGGTTCACAGAAGGGAAAAAGAAAGAAAGAGGGGAAACAACGAAAAAGGACGTAGCAACCTTATGGCCACAGCAGTTTATTGGGCGACGCTGGAGAGTTTTGTTGGATGCAGGGCTGTCGTACTTCGGCAGAGCAGTTGCGAGTACGACAGGTGGGCCGGCCGTGTCTCGGGGCGGCCATCGGAAGGGGAGGTGGATGGAATTTGTTGCTGTCGATGGGTCATTGATTGATTTCTGACTTTTGACCGATTCATAAAATCAATCCCGACAAGAAAGTGCACTTACTAGCCATGGCTGAGGACATACCCTTTTGTTTTGTGTTATCCTATGGTGGTTGAAAGCAACGACGTGGTGTAGCCCTCCGTCGGCTCGTTTTTCTCTGGCGCGGATTGTAAGCAGGGGCCGGCAGAGCTGGCCGGTCCCAGAAAGCCGGATACGGATGTGCAGGCGAAACGAGAAAAAGGAAGGCACAGAACAAACATAGCGTGCCAGTGTTGCAGCAAAGAACTGCTAGTGCGGCATGGAAACCTGCATGATGCATCGGTCTACGCGGAGCAGGGGGGGGGACAAGTCTTGTTTTTAGGGGCGATAGAAGGGTTGGGTACTTGAACCGCGGGCGGTTTTAGCGTTGCAGCTCGCTATAAAAAAAGTGTTTCTTGGCGGGGACTTGGATTTGGTGGCTTTTGTGGCTGAAGGTCAGGACTTAACTTCTGGTGATTTCGGCTTGCCCATGTTGCATGCCCTACTACAGATGCGCAGAAGGATGAAACGACAATGATGATGAAAAGGATGCGTGTAACTTGCCAATATTGTGTGAGCTGTGTGTTGCCACTGCGCAAGCCATCTACCAATGGCGTGTGAGCTGAGCCGCTCTTCCATTGCGCCGTCGGCAAGGCTTTGTTAGGTCAACCCCAAGACACGCCCAAGGCTCTCATTAAATAGAGCCCACTGCTACCCAAGTTCGCCCTGAACCATCTTTTTTTTTTTCGACACCAAGGAGACGACGCTGAGTCCAAGAACTTGGAGAAATACATCAACTTAGATCGCCTTGTACTCCTGTGCCGCGTTCGTTTCGACGTTCTGCTTCAACATATCGAACACACCTGGTGGACGCCCCCGAAGCCGCGCCTCCGCTCCCGCTAGGAAAACCTTCCAATTGGCGCCTGACCATTACACCTACCGACCTCCCTCTTCCTCGAACTTTCGTCCCATCCACCTTCTCGACCACCGCTCCGCGCCGCCTCTCCTTCTTCGGTCCCCTTAGTGCGGCCGCCGTTCCCTAATTCTATCCACCTGCATCGCTTCGCTCCTCTGCTTCTTCTTCGCTTTGGCATCTTCCTTCTTGTTGACTTTGTGTGTTTGCGCTGGCCCTCTAGCGTCGCGACTATCATACACACCTCCTGCGTCTCCATCACCCTCGACTCCCCCAGGCTATTGCTTGGTACGCACGACGAACGAGCTCATATGTGACCCGGTCTTAAATCATAGAAAATACTACTTCTCGCGCGGCATTCAACACGCTACTGAAGCAGCAGTCTTCAACGACTGCACCACACCCCTCGAATCGTCTCGCGACTACAACGCACCCCCTATACAATGCCCCCAGTTGCAATTCATGACCCGGCCGCGTCCAATGGACGAAGCACAAATGGCCACTTGCACGTTCACATCAATGGGAACGGCAACGCCAATGGCGGCTCCCATGCCGTCATGTCGCATCGCGTGAGTCCCTCGCGCAAGCAGTCCAGCCCTATGGCTCCTGCTTTCATGGTCTCGGCACCAGGTAAGGTTCTCTTCTTCGGAGAGCACGCTGTCGTCTACAACAAGGTAACTCTACGCAAGTCATCCAGTGAATACGCCTGCTGACTCTTCTAGCCTGCCATTGCTGCGGCAATTTCTCTTCGATCCTATCTCCATGTCACCACCCTCTCCAAGTCGAGACGAACCGTTTCACTACGATTCCCCGACATCGACCTTATCCACTCTTGGAACATTGACGAGCTACCATGGAATATCTTCCACCGCGCCGACAAGAAGAAATCATACTACTCCCTCGTCACTGAGCTCGACCCCGAGCTGACCGACGCCCTTCAGCCTCATCTGGATGTCGTCTCCCTGGACCACCCAGAAGAGACTCGCAAGGTGCATAAGAACACCGCCTTTGCCTTTCTCTACCTCTTTCTCTCACTCGGTATGCCATCCTTCCATGGCTGCCTCTACACCCTTCGCTCGACCATCCCCCTCGGCGCTGGCCTCGGAAGCAGTGCCTCCATCTCCGTCTGCATGTCAGCTGCCCTGTTGCTACAGCTGCGAACACTATCCGGACCGCATCCTGATCAACCCCACGACGAAGCCCGCCTGCAAGTCGAGCGCATCAACCGGTGGGCTTTTGTTTCTGAAATGTGTATCCACGGAAAAACATCCGGTGTCGACAACACGGTTTCCACGCAAGGCAAGGCTGTTATTTTTCAGCGCACCGAAGCCGGGAAGCCCCCGGTCGTCCGCAATCTCTTGGACTTTCCTGAGCTGCCCCTTCTATTAGTCCATACCGGACAGCCCAAGTCCACCGCCCACGAGGTCGCCAAGGTCGCTAAGCTCCGTGAGGCTCATCCTAAGCTCGTCAATTCTATCCTGGACGCTATGGAGCGCGTCACAGTGACTGCCGGTGAAGTCATTGACGACCAAGACTTTGACGAGAAGGAGGAAGAATCCCTGCAAAAAGTCGGTGAGCTGATGAGAATCAACCACGGTCTCCTGGTGTCGCTTGGCGTCTCTCACCCACGCCTGGAGCGAGTCCGAGAGCTGATTGATCATGAAGAGATTGGCTGGACCAAGCTCACTGGTGCCGGCGGTGGTGGATGCTCCATTACCTTGTTGCGACCTGGAGTGGACCGCGCCAAGATTGTCGAGATGGAGAAGCGCATGAGCGATGAAAACTATACCAGCTTTGAAACGACGCTCGGCGGCGACGGTGTTGGCGTGCTGTGGCCCGCTGTTCTGAAGAACGGCACTCATGAGGACGAAGAGGGTGGCATGGAGATCGACCTCGAAAAGTTTCTCAGCGCCGAGGGCACTGACGGGGTTGAGAAGCTGGTCGGTGTGCATGGCGGCGGGCTCGAACGAGAAGGCTGGAAGTTTTGGCGCATCGAAAGCGATTAAATACATGTAATGGCGTTTAGGGCCAGGGATAGGCGCGGGTCGGCTTGGGATTACTTGGACTATACTCTTTAGAACTTAACCTTGCGGTGCTGGCATATTACTATTTATTTATTCGCCTGTATTTAGTTTCTCTTCATTCTCCCAATTACTTTCAACGTTGGTATTTCTGTCCAAGCCCGCTCCCTCGCGTGCATTCGTGCTACCCACACACGACTTATCTATCCGCAGGATCCAACTCTGTGCAGGCAGGTAGGCAGGTATCTTGGGATGATGGCAATGCAAACAAATTGCCAAGCCAAATGATAACAAAGTCGCACGGCAGCTGACAAGCCGTGTTTGCAGCATCGCCTGCCCTATGTTTTTGGCTTGCGCCCCTGTCTATTTCGGCCCAAGCTTTGACGGAACAGAGGACAATACAAGCTCCGGTGTGCTACACGAAGAGATGGTACCACGGCGAGGGGAAGAAGGAGGAGGAAGAAGGGGGGGCGGGAGAGGAGAGAGGGGAGAAGCAACGCCGAATGCTGTGCAGGAGCAAGCTGGTGTCACCAAACGCCCGTCTTACCCAATCCAGCCCGCGGCAGCTCGTTTCTCGCCACCCTTTTTGCGTCTTGTTTATGCCCTTTCGGATATTTAAGCAGACCGACTTCTCCCTTTCTCACCTTCTCCTCACTTGTTATCCAGAAACATCTGCCTTTCCACACTCCACGTCAACCTGCCGTTGTCTTCTCCTACAACTCCTCCCCACATTTGCAAACAACCACAGCCGCTCCCCCCAAGAAACCATCATGAGTCAACAGCAGCAGCAACAGCTTCCTTTTGGTTACCTCGCGCAGATGGAGTCGTACTTTTCCACCGTCAACGCCTTCACGGCGGCCCCTGCGACGAAGGCGGCGATCATCCCCGCCCGCCAGCAACCACCACCAGCCCCGCTGCCGCCGACCAACACCACCACCAGCAACCTGCCGGACTGCTTCCGCACGCTCCGCTGCGACGGGTGCGAGATGCTCTTTACTGAAGCCGGCACGGACGAGGCCCGGTGGACGTTTCCCTGCGGCCACGTGTACTGCGCCGAATGCATGCGTCGCGCGCGGTCCGCCGCGGAGCGCACCAACGTGCACGCACTTTGCCGGCGGTGCTCCAACATTGTCGTGCGCAAGCGCGACAACGCACCATGCGCTCACCCGATCCCGATCGTCTCCTTCAACGCCGCCAGCCGGGCGACGGGGGAGGGCTTCGCCGGCCTGCCGGACAGGTACAGGCTGGCGCTCGGCCAGCGGACGGGTCCCAAGTGCCAGCTGTGCTGGCTGGCGGCGCGCCTGCAGAGCCTGACATTCCGCGCGGCGGTGCGCTGGCCGGCGGTCGCCGAGTCGGGCTTCCCGGGGGAGCTGTTCGCGTGCGTGCAGGTGGACAGGCGCCGCATCGTGCACGGCATGCGCAGGGAGCTGCCGGAGGCCGAGGTCGACCCGGAGGACGACGTGGAGCTGGGGAGGGGGGTGCGGTCGGTGCGCGAGGAGCTGGCGCGCCTGGCGTCGGATATCTGCGGCGGCCTGGGACAGGTCCCGATGGAGCCCAACTTTGACCCGCGGGGGGATATCGTAGTGCAGTACCGCCTGCGAGGCTTTGGGCGCTGGGTGAGGGAGAATGGGATGGATGAGGGGGCCCTGCCGGTCGGGCTGCGGGCGGCGGTGTATGGGGAGTGGGCGTGAGGGGGAAGAGAGAGGTCCAGGAATATGATGGATGAGATGAGCATGAGGGAGGGGAATTGGCTGAACGGACGTAAGCCGGACACTTTTATGCTTCTGAACAAGACTGCGGACTGAACTTTGGAGGAACGATCATTGCTGGTATGGAATGGACCTGAAGAGAATGGTGCGAGGCTGAGAGAGGAGCAAGGTACATATTGACTGCATGTATATAACCCTAAGATATCTGAGCGACAATTTGAAGCGTCAATACGAAGGAGCCGTTGACCGACAATGAAGATAAATACACCTGTCTGCTGTTGTGCTAGACTAGCTGCTGCACTCTGTACTTCCAGTATCCCTCCCGGATCGGATCCCACTTCTCCGACAGCCGCTGCAGGCACAGCCTCGCCTTGTCGGCGTCGCCGGCCTGCGCGTACACGTCCGCCAGGTAGTCGAGCGCGTGCGAGCTGCGTACGCTCTCCGCTTCCGTGCCCAGCCCGTCCACCAGCCCCTCCGCCAGCTCCCGCTCGCTCCCCAGCTCCCGCCCCCCCTTGGCCAGCGCTGCGCGCAGGTAGTTCCACGCGGACTGGTTCTGCGGCGCGAGCGCGATCTTGCCGCGCGCGTACGCGACCTCGCGCGCCACCACCTCGGCGGGCACGGCCGGGTCGCGCTCCGCGGGCCCGCAGCCCGGCGTGGACGCGGCCGGGTCCTGGAAGACGAGGAAGAAGCGGTGCGACCAGGCCGAGTTGTTGCGCGGGTCGTCGTCGACGAGGGCCTCGGCGGCGGCGAGCTCCTCCTCGGCGTCCCAGCGGCGGAGGCGGCGCACCATGTGCTGCCGGTACGACCAGACGTGGTAGTTCTTGGCGTCCTCGGCGAGCATGGTGGCGAGGAAGGCGGCCTCGGAGCGGCCGAGCGCGGCGACGGCGGCGTCGTCGGCGGAGATTTGGGGCAGGTGGTGTTCGAGGAGGAGCTGGCGGTGGTGCCAGATTTGGTAGTTTTTGAGGTTCTCGAGGGCGACCTCGTTGAGCCAGGCGATCTCGTCCGGGACGGGTATGGCGAGGGCCTTGACGATCTCGAAGCGGAAGAGCCAGACGGTGTAGTGCGCGGGGTTGAGGGCGATGACGAGCGCGGTCAGGCGCAGCGTGCGCGGAGAGTACTCCTTGTCCGCCATGACGGCGCGGAGGTACGCGACGGCTGCGCAGAGGTTTGTTAGATTCGGATCGTGGATGGAAAGGGAGAGGGGGAAACTGGGATGTAATTGGGGGTTTGGGACCTACCCTCTGCGTAGTCGTCGGGGTATGCGATTCGAGCTATGGCGTCCTCGGGCTCATTGTGCACGATGGGCACGACGTCGTCCCATTCCGGGTCGCTGGCCAGCGCACCTGTGATGTCGCCGTACAATTCCCTATTCAGCGCCGCCATTTCTTTCCGTCTTGTCTTTTCCGTCTCCGTTTCTTCTGCGGTAACGTCGTCGCCCTTGGCGCCGCTGTGCCTTGCCAGGTCGCGTTTCGTTCGATATTGCTGCGACAGCAGCCGTAGGGCGGTTAGCCTCGCCTGCTTGGCGCTCCGCGTCTCGTGCTCCGCGAGCGAGTAGGAGCCGACGTCGCGGCCGGCCTTGTCCGGTCCCCAGATGTAGTCGCCGCTCGGGCGCAGGCGTCGGATCGGCAGGCCCTCTTTGGCGATGGCCTTCCAGAACTCGCGTTCTGTCTTGTTGCTGAGCGGGACCCGCTGCTGGGCGACGGGCTGGAGCAGCTGGCTGTAGACAAAGGTCTTCTTCTCGGCGGCGGTCAGCGAGGACAGGCCCGAGGTCTGGACGCGGGAGGCGAGGGGATTAGTGGCGTGGAAGCGTTCCCGCGTGCGGTCGGCGACGGTGGACGGCGGTGTTTGTTGAGCCTGGGGTGGTTGTTGCTGGTGTTCTGGACATGGGTGTTAGGCTGCGGATAGGTGAGGGAGGAGAGGAGAGGAGTTTTATGATGACCTTTGGGATCGGGGGATGCTTTGACTGTGCCCTTGGACTTGGAGGGCATGGCGGCGGAGGCGGAATGGAGGGGTGAAGAGCTTGCTTGGAGGGAGCAAAGCTTGTGGATGCAGCAGTTGGCGATGTTTGCTACCCCGCTAGATTTTTGGTGGGCCCCGGCGTTGTAAGGTGTAAGCCACGAAAGAACAATAGGTATTTAAATAGTTGCGTAGATGATCAGCTATTAAAGTCTAAGCCTCGCTACTTGGAGCTATTTGACGTAGTTTCGCATTGAATTTCCTGACTTGCACGCTCGAAATTGCACAGCGAGCTCTTCGCCGACGCCGTTCCCGGAACACCAGTCTCAAAGGAGCCGCTCCCACGGCCTCCTCAACTCGGAAAGATCCCGGTTCGGTTGTGAACGAAAACCGCGCGGTAGATCATTAGCATGATTTCGGGAGTCAGTAAAGGCGCGAGAATTCATCATTCGAGTAAAGTGACTTCTGATGCTTTTGAAGGGTGGCTAGGTTGTATTTCGAAGAATAAAATGCGGGTTTCGAAGCTGCAGCAAGGCTGGTCGCAGGAGTGGACTTGACGATTGTGAAGCTGGCATTTTTTTTTTTAGCGACCCGGGATTTTGATCAGTTGGTAAAGCTTCATGCTCGTTGCCTGAGGCGTACTAAGATGTGACTGTACTATGTCAGCAGCTTCGGCTCTCGAACGCAGCTCTACACGAGCCTCGAGTAATTAATGCATCGTGAGTCTTGGGGGCTCACTGTGATTACACACGTGAAGAAAATACTTACATAGTCTCATATGCCCCGGACTAGGCGCCATAGAAGAGTGTCTCCGTCACACTGACTAAAGGCCGCTGGTAAAACTTGGTCTGCGATGGCCTATGATTTTTCGAATTTTTCGAATTTTTCGAATTTCAAATGAAAAAAAAAGAAACCCCCCACGAGTGCGAGGTGACTGCCTCACAGGGCCTAGATAGGCGCCCCGGTATTCAATCAAGACTCAAGGTCAAACAAACCGGTCTAGCGCCTGTGTCTCTGAGGACGTACAGGACTGCGTGGGGGTATGTTGACCGAGGGGAGCTCTGACGGGTCGATGCTGCTCGGCTCCGGTGGCGGGAAGACGAAGTCCACTGTTCAAGGAAACTTTCAAGGTGATGCGCGTAGCACTGTGCGCCCGTCGTGTGCTCAGTGACGGCGGAGCGGACCGGCGGATATGGCCCCGCACGGCCCGGCGAGGCATGCATGCTCCGCCGATGCCGTGCTGTAGACCCGGAGAAGCATCGTGAAAGTCTCAGATCCGAGGGGAAATGATGACAACTTGGCATCGCCTGCTTGTGGTTAGGATACAGAGAAGTTGTCAGAGGATATCGTCGGCTTGTAACTGGTGCCCTTCATTTCCACACTTTGCGGTGTGCGAGTTCCGCAATGCCAAGAGCCAGAACCCGAATCACTCCGCAGTGGATACACCATGTAGATTTAGTCAATGCCAAGACTGAATTAGCAACCGTTGATCGTTGCCAAGCTTCTTCATTACTAAATAAATCGCCAGCTCCGATGTGTAGGAAAACAGAAGTTGCTCCCTTTTCTCTCGACCTGAAGTATAGCAGAAAAAAAAAATTGAAGCCTAAAAATAAACCCAAGAATTCCCTATGCATGCATGCTTTCTATCTTGTCTACTTCCGATGCAACTTGCCTTATTATAAGTCTCATTGCTAAAACAAATCTCCGACCTCCGACTTGAAATTAGTCAGAGGCTTCTCCCGTCTTGTTGTTGGCCCTGTAGGTGGTGCTTTCGGGGATGGGCTCCTCGCACTCGCAGCTGAGGCAGGCCTGCTTGTCCTTGAAGAACCAGAAGCGCGACATGAGCGGGATCACGGCGCCGCACCAGACGGCCGTCGCGACCACCATGCCGACACCGTAGGCGTAGCCGTTGGTGGGACGGAAGTCGGGCGCCTGCGACACGGGGAACACGACTTGTTGCGCGGGGGCCTCGATGGCGCTGCACGACGCGTTAGTTGATAAAATGAACAAGGAATAAAAGGCTAGGGAAGAGAAAAACGCACTATCCCACGGAAATCATCATGGCGGTGATAAACGACCGCAGCTGCTTGTTGCCGCCGCAACTGCAGTTGATCCAGCCGCCGAGGAGCGGGGAGAGGCCGCCGTACGCGCCGCCGATGAAGTAGGCGGCCATGCGCAGGCCGATGTTGTTGGTGCCGACGAGGAAGACGATGTACGAGAAGAGCATGAAGACGCAGAGCACGACGAACGGGATGGCCCGGTTGTTGAGCGAGTCGGCCGCGACGGCGCTGCCAAAGATGAAGACGAGTTCCTAGTCATGTGAGTTAGCAGACGGGAAGCAATAGTTGGATTGTAGGAGGAACTTGCTGTCGCGCCGATTCCGGTAGGGATGGCGTTGATCTGGGTCTTGCTGTATTTTTCCTGTTTGAGCCACAAGCCCATCCACCGCTGCAGGTTGTTGCCGCACGTCAGCTCGACGAACCTAGATGATTGTTAGCACAGCCAAGTTAGAGAAGAATTTTCCGGGGATGCGCACCCCCAACCGATGACGAAGCCGTAAAATTGCCACGAGCGCAGGATCTGGCGGACAACGTCCCAGGTCCAGACGCCGACGGCGTCACGGCCGTCCCTCTTCATCCTGTGGATGGAGAGTGCCTTTTCCTCCTCTGTCATCCACCAAATCTTTTTGCCTTTGGGTTCGTCTGGAAGATGTTAGCATAGGCGAGGCAGGAAAAGAAGAGAAGCACCCTGGAGGTGCATCCTACCGGGGCAGACGAAGAAGCCGAAGATGGCGACGGGGATGCCAAGGAGAAAGTCAAAGATGAAGAGCCAGCGCCACGAGGCTAGTCCAGCGACGCCATCCATGTTCTTGTGACTGATGACCTGTTAGTTGATGATTTTGTGAAGACGTGTGAGGGAAGCTTACAGTCCGGCTTGAATGTAGCCTGAGCACATTCCACCAAAAACTGAAGCAAAGAGGAAGATTCCGGTTCGTCGGCTAATTTCAGACTTGGTGTACCAGCTGCCAATCTAAATTCCAATTAGTTTTGATGATGGAATTGTATGTAAAAAGGGTACATACCACATAGAGACAGCCGGGATAGGCGCCCGCTTCAAAGAGGCCACAGCAGAACCTGGATGCTGGGTTAGACAGGGTGAGGCGAGGCAACGTTTGGTCGGAGTGGTGACATACCTCAGTGCGTAGAGAGTCGCAGCGTTCTCGGCCTTGTACATGAAGAGGACGAAGAAGCTCCATCCCATGGTGCAAAAGGGCAGCCAGAACCGGGGCTGGATGACGGTGAGCATGCATGTGGAAATGGGAGCGCCGATGATGACGCCGACGCTGAAGTAGGTGGTGAACCAGTTGAGCTCGTTGCCCTCTGGGAGCTGGTCAGCGAGGGATTCGAGGTAAAAAGGGAGGAAACGGACTGAATTTGAGATCGGTTTGCATGCCAGTAAGCCAGGCGTTTGTGACGTTGGTTTGGTCCAAGTATTTGACAAAAAATGTCTATAATAAAGACATTGTTAGCGGAGGGGCAGCAAAGCACAACGGAAAAAGAATTTCATACCAGACAGGTATAGAGCAAAATGCAAAAGTCGAGCTTCCTTAGGAGCCTTCGCTCCTGCTTGCTGGCGTTGACATCATACCAGTGATACCATCGCCGGATGAGGGCTCGCTCGCCGGGCTTGGACGTCAGGGTCTCTGAGACTTCCATTGTGACTGTCTGGGGACTAACCACGGGAAAGTGCGGTAGGACTGGAGTTTTGACGGCAGGAATCAGGGCACAGGATAACATGGAACAGGCTGGGAACGTTATATGTAAGCTCGGTGCACCCTGATGGCCGCAGCCGGAAATACCACATCTCGGAAGAGCTGTGCCGGGCTTCCCACCCGCCAAGACCACGGGTTTCCTTGCCAGAATTGGATGACTTGCTAGAATCAGGCTGAGACGGAGATCCAATCAGATACATTCTCAAAAGCCCTCAGCTCAACTCAGCAGTAAATAGTCTTGCTGCGGCCGCCGCATCCTGACCTGCAATGGGACCCTGGGGGTTGAATTGCAGCAAGTAGACAGACCCGCGCAAAAAAAAAAAAAAAAGTTTTTCCTTCTTTCCTTTTCCTTGGCTGCGGGCTGACATTTCAGCAGTTCCCTTTGTGGAATATTGACGAAGCTGCAGACTGGCGGGCACGGCCCCCCTTGGCCCAGAACATGCGCGGATCTCGCCGACGATGCGCTGTCTTGACTCGACAGCATTGACGATCTCGGCCAACTTGGCTGCAGGCAGGCCGGGCCATTGCCACGCGACATCGCGGCACTTGATTTATTTTCCAAAAGAAAAGAAAAGAAAAGAAAAGCATCTGCAGGAAAAGCAATACAAGGCTCGCATGAGCCTGCAGCCACTTGAAAACTCTATCGATTCCTGCGTTGGCTGGTTGGTTGGTTGATTTCGTTACGAGTTGCTGTTCGGAGGTGCCAACGTTATTACGCGACCGGCCGGATCCGGCGCACGGTGATTGGTGGGTTGCTCAGCCCATGCGGGGTGCTGATGCAGGCCTGTTCTTAAAAATAAACGAATATTAAAAATGTTAAAATATTAAAAAATAGGAATGATAAAAGAAGTGGAAAAAGTCCAGCGAGCCTTCTTTCCTGTATGAAGAAAGTTTACTTCATTGGGGATATGAGGATATGAACGGCGGCCGTCTTCACAAGACGTTGGCGATACAACAGCATAGTCATTATTATTAGTGTCGGTCTACTTTTGTGTCATTCATGTTCCACGGACAGAACTGCTGCACTTCCTCACATAAAGAACCTGTGACGTTGGTCCATCTTAAAAAATAACAGGCTGACAGCATGGAATCCTTGAAAGTGCATTTGTGGATGACTCAATATATTGAAAACTCCATCCACCCACACCAACCTCGCATCCTTCCCATGACAAATCCCCCCCTCCTCCATTGTCCAAATCGCCAAGCAACAGCCCGACAGCACGCAACGCTCGCCTGCCATGTCCCGCTCTCCCCTCTACCCTATATCTCACAATCCCTATATCTGACAATCTGACAATGCACGTCCCGCGCCAGCGCTGCCCTCAGCAACGTTGCCTCCCGCGGCTTAAAGTACAACCCCGTCGGCCGCCGCGCCATCGCCTGGTGGCCGGCGCTCTCGCAGCCCGTGATCGGGTCCGCGTCCACGCCCGGCTCGGCGGACACGGCAAAGGCCGCGATCAGCCGCACGAACAGCGCGTACAGCACGTGGTTGGCCAGCGTGTACCCGGCGCACATGCGATACCCCAGCCCGTAGCTGAAGATGGCCTGATCGGGATCCTCGAGCCACCGCTCAGGCCGGAACGTGTCAGGGTCGCGAAACAATTTGGGCTCTTGTAGAAATGGGAAAAAAAAATCCTGATTTTGTCAAATCTATGGCGGTTTTGTCGTGTTACTTGTGGGCTGGGGGACTTGACTTACCTCTGTTGCATGCAAAGGTGTTGAGCACCACGGTGTTTCCATCTGGGATGATCTTGTCTTGGTATACAATCGGCTGCACTGTCAGTCGAGGCAGCGCCAGCCGTGACGGGGTATAAAACCTGGCCTCATTATTAGGTCAAATGGCCCCAACAACTCAGCCCACCGGGGCAAAAAGGTCGAACGTACCGGAGAATTTCTCGCACCAGCGCGCTGATGTAGGGAATGTCCTCCGTGTCCCGTAGCGGCTCCCCAAACACCTTCGCCACGTCCGGGTACGCCTCTCGGATGTGCAGCAGCGCCGTCTCCTGAACGTCCGGCCTCGTCGCCAGCAGCACCAGCCCCCAGTGGATCATGTTGCTCTCCGTCGCCACCCGCCTGACAAGAACGTCAGCAGTACCGTCGACAGCTCCGCCGGCGGCAGCGGGTGCGTCGCCGCCTCATTCCTCGCCCACAAGCACCGCTTGTGCGTGCCCTCGCGCGACTTTCCTGCCACCTCCTCATTGAGGCGTTGCACGTAAGCGTCACGCCGCTCGCGCAGGCCCTCTGCCGGCCCGCGGTAGCTTCTGCTGAGTGGCCAGGCGTGCAGCAGGGGCCAGGAAGTCCTGCGCGTTGTCGGTCATGCTGCGCAGCTTGAGGATCTTGTGCTCGACGGAGATGATTTCTTGGGTGAGCGGGTTGCCGAGGTACATGCGGCGGCCGTAGCAGATGGACACGGAGAGGTTGAGGGCGAGACGCTTGACGAGCGGGGAGACGAGGAGCGGGGAGCGGCCCTCGGAGCCGTAGATGAGGAGCTCGTGGATGAGGTGACGCGTCTCGAGGTTGATCTTGTCGAGGTTCGCTTTGACGGCTGGTTTGCTGAGCTCGGCGGCGGTGGCCTCGCGGCCGCGCTTCAGGGCGTTGCCGTACACAGCCGTGCCGATGGTGGGGCCGAGAGTGCCGGCGATGAACTTGTACACGGTGTTAGCCAATTGCCATAATAGTACACCAATCAGCAAGTTAAAATGAAGGAAACAAAGTTCAACCGAATCAAAAGGTACAGAGGGTTTTATGCATCACCATACCTGGTGAAATGTATGAAAGATGGGACGCGAGGAGAGGGCAGCGGCGCTACTGGTCAAGATCTCCTTAGCGGCGGTCGCCGAGTTGACAACGATGATGGGCATGTTCCCGAACCGAACCTGGATCACATCGCCCATTTGCCTGGACCAGAGGAGGAACTGTCTCGGCGTGGTGGCTGTACAGCGACGGCAGATTACCCACGATGGGCCACGGCCCCGGCCCGGGGAAGGTGGTCAACGCGGACGTCTTGTGCAGCAGGACCAGATAGATGGCCACGCAGGCCATCAGCGGCCGGACCAGGCTTAGAACGGACAGCTCCGGCCACGACGACGCCTGGTAGAACCGGTTACGCAGCTGCACGAGGAGCTCCGGCAGGGGCTGGAAGACGTCCAACATGTCCATGGCGACAAAGGACAGTGTGGGTGGCTGGCCAGGTAGTTCTCAGGACCGGGAGAGAAAACAAAGAACAAAAGGTGCAAATAGGAGTGGAAAGAACGTGATTTCGAAAGGTTATGACGTGCGGCTACAGTTGTGATTGGATTTTATATCAACCGGCTGTCTTTGGTAGACATGAGCAGGAGGAGAGAGGCACGACGGGTAGGAGTGACCCAACCACAAGACAGCGGAAAGAAAAGGAACAAGCAGTGAGATTGATCATTGAGAATGGAAAATCAATCTCATAATCAGACTAGATTACTCTGTGTACAGTTAACATCGTTGTCATCGTCTCTGTTGATGAGATCCCTGTCACCCAGACCTCTTGCCGCTTTAACAAGTGTCAGATGCTGGCAACCAATCTGGCAACCTGGCAAAGTATACGGATCTTCGCAGATGGAGATGCAGATCCTCGCAAGGGGCGTGGCGCCGCCCGATCTGGGGGCGTGGCCGTGCGTAGACGCCATCCCCGGGGGCCGGGGTACGGGCGCTACCAGTTCTAGTTCTGATCTTACTTTGTTTTCACTAGTTATATGCTGGGTCAAGATAAAGTTAATTTATGTAATTCTATACCAGGTTTTCTCATATCAGCTATTTCAGTTATAAAGTTACCAATAGTTTCTATTCTTATACCTTCAATATTTTTATATTGAATTCAGTTAAAGAGTGTTTTATGAAGATTCTTATCAACTCTATCCATTAAATATAATAATTTAAATGAAGGCTGGACCGGGGGTCACAGCTCCGTCGCGATGCGGTTCGAGATATGCCCGAGCAGCTGGTACAGCCGCAGCGCCTTGTAGACGACCGCGTTGAGCAGCGGCAGGCGGTTCAAGTCCCTGAACGAATAATTCCAGGGAATGTCCCTAGTCACTTCGTCTCGCAGGAGCTGCTAGATGTGCGGGTGCGCGGCGAGCTCCTCCAGGGCCGAGTTGAGCGTCGTCTCGACGTTTTTCGTGGCCGGCGATGAACAGCTGCTTGTGGTTGCACACCCAGTGGTAGTCGGACATGAGGTACTGCTCGCGCGCGCGGTGCAGGCTGAAGCCGATCTTGGCCTCGCCACCCAGCGGCGGCGGCGGCGGCGGCGGCGGCGAGCACACCGGTCCTCGGCGAGCTGAAGCAGCCGGAGCTGCAACTCGTGCAGCAGCGTGTCGGTGCGCCGCGTGACGTCCAGCTTGAAGGGCAGGTTGTCGAGGAACGGGAACAGGCCCTTAAGGCGGCTCATAAGCTTGCGGTTCTGCACACCCAGGACCTGATGGATGTTGAAAGTGCGGTAGTCCATCTTGTCAGAGTCGAGCTGCGCGTCCAGGAAGTACTCGCCCCCGAGCGGAGAGCGCCCAGCGCCAGACGTCGGGGCCGATGAGCACGCCGCCGGGCTGCTCCTGATAGGCCTGCAGCAGCCTGTCGGACTGGTCCCGGGCCTTTTGACGGAACGAGTCGGGCGGCGCGGGCAGGCAGAAGCCGTCCTTGAGGAGCTTGCGGAAGGTGGCGCACTGCTCACCGTCCGAGCCGATGATGTTGATACCGAACAGCTTGGCGCCCCTACCTCAGGGAATGCTCTCGGCGAGGCCCATCTTGTTGAGCTTGCGGGCGCTGCTGCGGAACATCTGCAAGAGGTACTCGGGCTTGGTGACGAGGATTGTCTAGGCGCCCTCGTTCCAGAAGGCGACGACGCCGTGCTTCTCGATGATGGGCCGGACCAACCGGTTGTAGACGTCCGACTTGGAGGCGCCGCGGATGACGATTCAGAAGTGAGTCCAGAGAGGCACCCGGGAGATGTTGTGCGGGAAGTCGTGAGGCATCGCGGGGCCGTATAGCAAGGCGCTCACCAAGGTGTCCAGGATGCCGAGGCCTGTCCAGACGGTGCTGGGAAGGCCCTTGAGGGCGGGAAGGATAAAGTCTTGCATTACCTCCATCATGCCGACCATGTACAAGGTGAAGCAAGTACAGAGATGAAGTTGGTTGTCATGAGATTTAGACCCCACGAGGTCTCAGTAGGTGTGTGTGCGAAGGCTATTCTTGGCCGTCCGTGACGTCTGGGCAGATAGATACACCGCTGATTCTGGGCGGAAAGATTGGCATACAGTTTCTAACCCTTTCCCCTCACGAGTTTGCCTCGCAGCCTGCAGGACACAGAACGGGCTGTCGCAAAGTACCCGACTTGGGCGGCTCTCCGTTGACGGAGCTGTCCTTGGAAGGCGGCACACCGGCGCAGCAGCAATACAGAATAAAAAGAAAAAGGGGATAAATTCCTGGATAAAATAAAGAATTGCTTTTGCTGTTGCGAATGGTATCCGAGACAAAATAATAAATGTCTCTGCTGTGCCGCACGGCAGGATCTCTACCTGCAGCTGAAAGCTGAAAGAACAGGAATGTCTCGAATATCACCAAGACACTTGCAGCGGCCAGGATCCACGAGGAGGTGGGAGGCAAGAGTCAGTTCAAGTACAACTAATTTAGTTTCCATTTCCCGGACCGTCCTTTCATGATTCCTGGTTTTGTAATTCGTAATGCTATTCTCCTCAACCTTGATTCCTGGATGCTACACTGGTCCGCCAACTTCAGTGCAGGGGAGGCGTGTACGTGCTCTCAGGCTGGCTTGAGTTACTATTTACACCCCGATCTACACAACGGGACCAAAAAGTACCGTTCAAGCACAGGTCGAATCACTGATCAACTCTACCAATACCAATATGTAATCTGCAGTGCTACGTTCGACCGGGAATTCGGAGCATGTCTCGGTGCGCTGGCCAGGTGGCGTCTTACCGGCACGCACTCTCTCCCTATTCGTAAGTAGTAAATTCTCCAGCAGAGACTCCGGTGAGAAATTAATTAAGGGTTTCAAGCCGCCCTGATTTCCTGTGTTACCGGTTGATAACGATTGGCCACCGACGGCTGGCCATGGGAAATGACTGTTAGACAGAGAACTTTGCACATGTGCGGAGAACGAGGAAGTCCGGATTGGCGTTTGGCTTTAACATGGACGCACTGGTACATAGTTGGTCGCTGATTTTCCGTGTTGCAGAGCTTCTGCATTGGCTTCCAAGATTCATCATCCAGGTTAATCATCGCGGCTGTATCTTGACTGCTTCTCATTCAAGGGTCCAAGTCGAAGCCAGCGTACCAAAGCAACAGCAATTCGAAGAATCGGAGATCTGCCTGCATCGTACCTTGTCAGAGCCATGTTGCCAGACATTGCAGATGCATGGCTTCTTGCAGCATCCGCCCTTGTCGCATGCAGTGCCAGCCTGCTGCTGGTGTCGCGCTTCACGACATGCACCGCCGGCTTCGCGCAATTGAGGCGTGCCAAGCCGCAGGATAACTGGTACGAGGACGAGGATGGCAAGAGTACACCAGAGTCTATTGCCAGATTCTCAAACAAGACTCCCAAGCTGCTGTGTTTCTGCCTGGCCGCCATTGCCTTTGCAGCATCCTTGGCCATTTCCATGCTCGCTACCCTACACTCCGGGTCCCGTGATGCCATCACCTCGGCTTGGCTCCTTACCCTTGGCTGGGTGAGTTGTTTTTCCCGTCTCTTTTTCACTGTAAATGCTGACCGCATAGGCAATCATCCTGTTCCTGTCCGTCTCCATCCGACTGGACAATCATCCTGTACGATGCTACGAGGCCGGCCGTTTTCTCGCTGCTACCACAGCAACCATGGCACCAGGCATCATCTTCCAAGGCTTTTTCTTCGCCCACCAGCCGCTCATGCCCTCCCGCCGCATCGTCCTCAGCCTCGTCGCGGGAAACGCGCTTCTCTGTCCCTGCATCGTCCTCGGCGCGCTCCTCTTCCCGCGCCGCCCCGAGGTCTACCACGGCGGCCGGCCGGTCTCCGCGGAGCAGTCCGTGTGCGCGCTGCAAAGGGCCCTGTTCCTCTGGGTGCAGCCGTTGATAAGCAAGGCGTCCAGAGACGGCGACCTCGAGCACGACGACGTCCCGTCTATGGAAAGCTTTGCGAGGGCGGCGACGCTGACGGCTCAGTGGACTCGCGCGAACCACCGCGGGGACCTCTTCCGGTCCCTGGTGAGCACGTATTGGAGACAGCTGGTAGTTCTCTGGGTCAGCGTCATGGTACGTTCCATCGTCGGTGTCGGGCCGTTTTGGGCCATGTCGCAGCTCATCCAGAGACTCGAGGTGCTTGGGTCGGAGGAGGGGGATGCAGGCCCGAGTCTGTGGATCTTCCCTCTTCTGATCGGTCTCTTTACATTCTCCGAGCAGGTAAGTTTCTTCTTCTGTCAGGCAAGGCATGGAAGGAGCTAACCACTACTATTTGCTAGATGATTGCTACTCGAATCATGTGGCACTCCATCAAGAGGATATTCGCACCAGTCCGGGGACAACTATCCGCATTAATCTTTGCCAAAGCCATGCGACGAAAAGACATCAAAGCAGCTGCCGACGTCGGCGATGACGACGCAGAGAAGCAGCACGGCGAAGAATCCAAGGAAAAGGCGGCCGAGGACCTCGCCAAGTCTCGCCAGGCCATCATGAACCTCATCGGCGTCGACGTCAAGCACGTCTCCGACTTTGCCATGCTCCAGATCCTCATCGTCAGCAGCGTCGGCAAGCTCCTCATCTTCTCCATCTACCTGGTCCAAGTCATCGGCGCCGTGCCCTTCCTCGCCGGCGCCTGCGCCTGGGCCTCGCTCCTCCCGCTCAACGCCGTCGCCTCCCGCCGCTACATCGCCGCCGAGACGCGCCTCATGCGCGACCGCGACCGCAAGCTCGCCGTCGTCGGCGAGGCTGTCAACGGGCTCCGCCGGATCAAGTTCTCCGCGCTCGAGGCCCAGTGGGAGGGCCGGGTGCTGGCCCGCCGCGCGGAGGAGCTGCGCACGCTCTGGCGAGTGTTTATGGCCAGCACCATGGTGTTTGGCTGCTGGGTGACGAGCCCGATCCTGCTCTCGGCGGCGTCGCTGGCGACGTATGCGCTGATGAATGGGCGTTTGTCGCCGTCGGTCGCGTTTGTGAGTATCGCCATGTTCAAGAGCTTGGAGGCAGCGCTGGCAGGCCTGCCGGAGCTGCTGACGGTCGGCTTCGACACGCTCGTCTCCGTCCGGCGCCTCGACGCGTTCCTGCAGGAGCCGGAGCTGCTCCCGACAATTACGCATGGCTCTGGCGTCGCCTTTCAAGATGCCACCATCGCGTGGCCGTGCGACCGCGACGACGACGACGACGACGATGACGACGGCGAAACCTTTACGCTGAGCGGACTGAGCGCCGAGTTCCCCGAGGGCCAGCTCTCCGTCATCACCGGCAAGTCCGGCACAGGCAAGACGTTGCTTCTACAGGCTCTCATCGGCGAGGCCGAACTTCTCGGCGGTCGCATCGTCATGCCGACCGCGCCCCCCAAGCCCCTTCCGCCCTGGAACTGCAGCTCCTCCGAAGACGTCTGGGTAGTGCCCGGCACGGTCGCCTACGTCGCGCAGACGGTCTGGCTCGAGAACGCCTCCATGCGGGACAACATCCTCTTCGGCCTGCCGTACCTGCCCCGGCGGTACGACACGGTGCTGCACGCGTGCGCGCTGGAGCGGGACGTGGCGGCGCTGGACGACGGGGACGAGACGGAGCTCGGCGCCAACGGGGTGAACCTGAGCGGCGGGCAGAAGTGGCGCGTGTCGCTGGCGCGGCTGCTGTACTCGCGTGCGGCGGTGCTGGTGATGGATGACATCTTCAGCGCGGTGGACGCGCGCGTCGGCAGGCACATCATGCAGTACGCGGTGGCGGGGGAGATTGGGAGGGGGCGCACGAGGATCTTGGTGACGCACCATGTCGGCCTGGTCGCGGACGAGGCGGCCTTTTTCCTGGAGCTCGGCGGCGGCACGGTGCTGCACGCCGGACCGAGCTTGCGGGGCGGCATGGGCGGCGGTGCGGCAAGCGGCGGCACGGTGACGCCGAGGTCGGTCTCGAGCACAGCAAGCACCGCGGTGGCGACGACGAAGCACATCGAATCCGGTCTGATCGAAAGAGAGGGTCGAGAGCCGGCGGAGAGCGCGGAGAAGACGGCCAGGAAGTATGTCGAGGATGAGGCCCGCGAGAAAGGCATGGTCAAGAGTCACGTCTACCGGAAGCTCATCAGCAGCGGCGGTGGCCTGCGTCTCTGGCTTCCGCTGATCGTCTTTCTGGCTCTATTCGAGTCGTCAAACTTTGGTAAGTAAATCAAGCACACCCAGATGTATTCGGTCCTGTACCAACTAATTAATTTCTGGAAAAGGCCGAAATTGGTGGGTACGAATCTGGACGGCGGCTGGTCAAGACAATGCGCCGGCTTACAGCAACACAACGACGAGCCTGGATGGATTCCACGCATCCTCGATGCATCCTACGATGGCTGCTCATCCTCCTCTCGCCTCACCCGCACCCACGACCCCAGAGTCACATTCCCTGGCCTACTACCTGGGTCTCTACCTCCTCCTCTGCGCCATCGGCGCCCTCGTCGGCACCGCCCGCTTCTTCTGGTCCTTCGTCATCAGCATCCGCTTCAGCCGCCGTCTCTTTGAGGACGTCCTCGCCTCTATCCTGCGCGCCCCCTTACGCTGGATGGACACTGTCCCCGTCGGCCGCGTCCTCAACCGCCTCACCGCCGACTTTGACGTCCTCGACAGCCGTCTGATGGAGGAGGCCACCCTCGTTCTCGTGCACGCCTTTGAGCTCGTCACCATTTGCCTCGCCGCCGTCGCGCTCTCGTGGCTCGTCATGCTCCCGCTCGCCGCCGTGCTCGTGCTCGCCAGCGTGCTCGTCGCCGCGCGCTACCTCGCCGCCGCGCGGCCCGTCAAGCGCCTCGAGAGCACCGCCAAGTCCCCCGTGCTGGAGACGTTCAACGCGGCGCTGGCGGGCGTGGCGACGCTGCGCGCGTACGGGCGGACGGGAGACTACGCGGCGAGAGCGCACGCGCAGCTGGACGACTGGGGCACGGCGACGCTGCACGGCTGGTCGCTGAACCAGTGGATGACGCTCCGGATGGGCGTGGTCGGGACCGTCTTTGCGACGGCGGTCGGGCTGCTGGTGGTGGCGGACCCGGGGCGCTTCGGCGCGGACATGGCCGGGTTCGCGCTGAGCTTTGCACTGAGCTTCGCGACGGCCATGAGCTTCGCGATGCGCAACTATGCGACCGCGGAGCTGGACATGAATGCGATGGAGCGCATCGCGGAGTACGCGGAGCTGCCCACGGAGGACCTCTCAGGCGACGAGGCCCCGAGGGACTGGCCGCGCACCGGCACAGTGAGGGTCGAGCACCTCCATGCCGCGTACGCCAAGGACCTGCCCCCGGTTCTGCGGGACGTCTCGTTCAAGATTGGCGATGGGCAGCGGGTTGGGATTGTAGGGCGCACGGGAGCTGGCAAGTCGTCCCTCACGCTGGCACTGTTCCGGCTGATAGAAACCAGCGGGAGGGTCGTCATCGATGGCATCGATACCTCGACACTCAACGCCCAGAGTCTGCGATCCCGCTTGTCGATTATTCCTCAAGTAAGTTGGAGAGAGCTGCTTAACAATCTCCAGTTGATCAAGGCATACTAACGACGAATTCTACCCCCCCAACAGGACCCTGTCTTGTTCTCTGGTACCATCCGGAGCAACCTGGACCCCTCTCACCAGCACACCGACGAGGAGCTTCACAGCTGTCTCGCCCGGGTGCACCTCATCGACCAGGAAAGCAGCGACCGCGGCCCTGAAAGCCTCTCCGGGAGCGACGCCGACGACGAGGCATCCTCCCCGTCCTCCGCCGCCTCCTCTTCCACCCTCGCCGCGTCCGCCCCGACGCCGCCGCCCAACGCCAACATCTTCCGGCGGCTCTCCAGCCGCGTCTCCGAGGGCGGCGGCAACCTCTCCCACAGCCAGCGGCAGCTCGTCTGCCTCGCGCGCGCCATCCTCGCGCGCCCGCGGCTGCTGGTCCTCGACGAGGCCACCTCGGCCGTCGACATGGCCACCGACCGCCTCATCCAGCGCAGCATCCGCGACGGCTTCCGCGACGCGACGCTGCTCGTCGTCGCCCACCGCCTGCAGACGGTGGCCGACTTTGACAAGATACTGGTGCTGGACCGGGGTGCCGTCGTGGAGGAGGGGTCGCCCAGGGAGCTCTGGGAGAAGGAAGACGGTGCGTTTCGGGAGCTGTGTGAGCAGAGTGGTGAGGCCATGCAGCTCAGGGACATGATATACGCCAAGAATGCTTGAGTATGCGTTGCAAGTCGCCGCTGATGGCTGAAATGTCGTTCCTTTAAATTGTTCATTTGTTTGTAAAGTTAGTTCTCGCCAAGTCGTTAATTTATTCATCTGTTCCAGCATACATGATGTCTATACTCTTGTCCCAACACCATCATCTTGGACTCATTAAACATGACACCGCAACTCTGGGCTCACTTGGCTTGCATAGAATCAGTAGCAGTCTACGCGAGGCTCATGAAAACCTCCATCATCTTGTCGAACCGCGGCGTCCCCATGCCCGTCGTCGGGTCCCAGCCGCGCGTCGCGTTGAACCCCTTGCCGTTACAAACGCCACCCCCCGTGTACATGCCGCCCTTGACCACGTCGTGGAACATCTCCTCGTGCTTGTACAGCGTCGGGTTGACGAAGCCGACCGGGCCCTTGCCAGCCTTGATGCGCTCCTCGTTGATCAGGTTGACCAGGGCGCCTACGATCGGCGCGCTCATCGACGTGCCGCCCTCGTACCGGAACTTGCCCTGGTAGACCACAAGGCCAAAGTCGCCGGCGGCCGCGATGTCCGGGTAGCCGCGGCCGGCGCCGTTGTACAGGCCGCCGGTCTCGTACGGGATCTTGAGGTCGGTGGTACTGTAGTTGGCGTAGCCGGGGTCGTGCGATTCAAAGTACCTGCGTAGATGTCCGTCAGTCCTCGCGCTCTCCTCGGCTGAAAGATCAAGGGCTCCTTACCGGTTGACGGCGTGCTTCTGGTACTCGGGCCGGGGAAAGATGTTGGAGAAGCCGCCGCCGGGAGGGAACCACTTGGTCACCATCTCCTCGTCGCCCGCCTCACCGCCGGGGATAATCGACGTGGACCCGACCGAGGTCATGTACGGGCAGGACGACGCCTGGTCCGCCGTGAAGACGTCTCCATTCTCGCCCAGACACCCCTCCTCCGCGACGCCGCGGTCGCCGCTGGCCAGGAACAGCGAGGTGCCCTGCAGGCCCAGCTTCATGAACTCGTCACATTGGCGCTGCAAGAGAGTGAGAGTTAGAGCAAGAGCAAGCGGTAACAGAGCTAGGTGGGTTCTTGTCTCACCTTTTGGTACTTGAGAGGATAGTCCTTCTCCGGGAAGCCATACGAGATGCTAATCACGTTCGTCCTCTCAAACACGCCGCACTGGCGCACCGACGGCACGCCGTCCACCTCCGGGTCGTCGCCGCCCTCGTACTCGCAGTAACTCCCATCAATCGCATCTAAAAAGAAGTCAAAGTAGTTATGGGGGTGCGCCTCGTCGTATTCGGTCTGGAAGTCGACAATCTGCTGCGGCCAGATGAGCGGGTAGGCCATCTGGAAGTCGAGCGTCGACTCGGCGCCGGCCTCCTCGCGCGTGCCCTCGGCGCGGTCGTGCCCGATGATGTTGATGACCGGGTGCGTGCCGTTGGGGATCTCGGGCGCCACGAGCGTGAAGAAGTCGTCCAGGTCGGCTTGGGCGTACTTTTGGTTTTCGGACTCGTAGATGCCCATCTTGTTGCTCGGATGCGCGAGGGTGCCCCGCGGGACGTTGTACATGGCGCGGATGCACTCGGGCGTCACCACCTCGGAGCACTTCTTGCGGTTTCCTGATGGGGGAGTTTGGTCATGGTCAGCTGCTGAGGTTCTAGACGCTCATCGAAGTTGTGTCCGTACCTTGCTTGTCCGTCCAGCTGGGCGGCGCGGCGGCGGTGGCCTTTTCCACGGCCCTGCGACGAGCGGAAATTTTCTTCTCGCCACCCTCGGTGCGCTTTCGTAGCATCGCCGTGCCGGGAACGACAAAGTCGACGACGTCGGAGATGTCATGGGGCAGGCTGTACTCGTCGGTGCCAATGTGCTCCACGTCGTCGCTCCTCGCGTGGCGGTACACGTGGTACTTTGTCTGGAGGAGGTCCTCCAGCTTGTCGATCGTGGTGGAAAAGTAGACGGATCCTTGGCTCTTGGGCACGACGAGGGAGTCGTGGGCGATGCCCGACTGGGCGAGCCATCGCTTCACGGCAGCCACCGACTCGTCAGCCGGCTTGAACAGGTCGACAACCTGCTCGGCGGTGTAATGTTTGCCATAGTTTGGGGAATCAGGATCGGAGCTAGTAGAAGGTGTTAGTAGAGTGACTGTATAGTCCGGCTATGATAGCTATCATGGCCACTAGAGCCGTGACAACCCCGACGCTCCCTCTGGCACCTACACGTCCATGAGGTATTCCATTCCGTTTTCCAAGTTACGCTGTTTCAGCGCCATTCGAACCTGAATGCTGCCATTAGACGGCACGGCATCGCGTCTAACGAATTTGCTCTTCGCAGCACCATCGCGTTTCTCGTGGACAACGTAGCGCGGCTGGGCCGAGGGCATCGCCGTCGCCGAGGCCGCCAGACCCAGCATATACACCGAGCTCAACTTCATAGTCGCGAGATGAATGTACCTCAAGCGTTGATAGATCTCAAAGATGGCCCTTTTGGATGGTGGATTTAGTTTCCAACGTTGACTGCTCTTTATAATCATGGCGAGGAGACTTTTTCTCCGCTTGCATCCAGGCACGGCCCCTCCCGAACATCTCGCCGCCAACTCAATCGTATGATTGATCTCGAGATTATTTTCCTGTCGGCTCCCGCGCGCTGACGCGTCAATATGGAGTCTCTCCATTTCAGGAAGGTAAAAGATGGCGGTCAGTTGAGCTGCAGTAATAATACAGCGTTCTCATCTCCTTTACCCGTTGAGCTATCATCATGGTTACATTGTTAAAGGTCTATCGTGAGCTAGTGTTTCAGGGTTAATTTAGACTTCCATTGAGCTATTTAATTCTTTGTAGATTTTGGCCTGATCTGATGACGCGGCAATACGAGGTGGATTCATGCTTTGAACAAGCCTTAGTCATAGGCTTTACAACTATAGCTTTTTGACATCATCGTCCAAGTTATCCGTCTAAAGCCGGAAATAGTGCTCATTTGACTGATTCGAATCAGAGTTTCGGAAACACCCGCGGAGATTGGCCTAACAACCTCCACTTGAGATGGTGACCAACCCACCACAGTGAAGATTCTCAGCCCGAACAAGTCCGGCACTTGAGTTGTGTAGACCAGATCAAGAGGACCCTTTGGCACGACGAGGAAAACAACAGCCCAGGAAGCAAGAAATGGGTCGATGAAGCGACAGCTTCATGAGAGTCACACCATCGCGATGGCTGCCCCCCC